TAAATATATTTTGTGAATTTTTGTTTTCGAATTTTACTTATTCAAACGAAATACCACTACACAGAAGAAGAGAAATATAAAAAATTATTCTCTGCCATGACCTCAAACGCACGATAATTGTTATTGTTATTTTTGATCTCTCATATGTTTGGAAGAGAATAACAACAATAAATGATTAAGTAGCCTTAGCAATAGCATCGAAAAATAACTTCAACACTCAGCAAAACGTTAAATGACTGACACAAAATAAAAAAAAAAAAAAAAAATTTAAAGATAAATATAAAATTGAAATTTTTTAAAAGCAATTTTAATCTCTTCTCTCTTCGTTGTTTTTTTTTTTTTTTCTTCGTTCCCCTCTCTATTTTCCACCTTCCTTTAGATTTTTACATACGCTTACCCCCTAAAAGGTATAACGATGATTTATTATTTTACTAAACGAAGTCAAAAACCTGGAGAACAGCAATTGTCGCGTATAAGTATGTATAAAAGAGAAAATTTTTTCAAGAATGCATATATAAAGTAGAGTTCATCCAGCCGATATATTAATCGGTATCTGTTATATAAATGCATCCATTTCATTGATCAACTCGAGAGCACTTTAATGATGATGATAAAAAGACAACAAATCTGCATATACATATTAACGATGTTATAAACTGATGATTATTACAAACTAATATATAGATTGTGGGCTTACAAATCAATCTATATACGTCAGCATTTGAATGACGGCACTGAAGCAATCATTTATATAAAAATGTCTAATATTTAAACTATCTATTCTTATAGATGAATCATATATAAAATTCGGACACAGATTTTTACTAATTACATAGAAAATTAAGTTGATGCTAATTTTGTACGACAATTACTTCAAGTGAATATAATAGGAGACAGGTTAGACAAATCATTTGAAAAATTTGCACTTATGCCTTGTTTTAATCTGAACATTTCGCATATAATAAATGACGCTCCAACACCAATGCATTTAGTTTGGTTTAAAACAGTTATTTTATATTATTACTCTCTAAATGTGTTTCAAGTAAACCACACCTGCGTCTAGTTTCAATAAAAAAAGAAAGAAACATTAAAACATAGAAGTAGTGTCTGTCTATCAATACGCTAGCGATATCTAAACAGACCATACGCATAATACACATGAAGACCATTTTCTATTTTGTATCTTATATCATATTGTATATAAATTGAATCACGGCTGTGTAATGAAAGACAGTATGGGTAAATGCAATTATGATGACGAAAGCAATAAGAGCTCGAATTTCCAAAATCTTGATTGAGGTCAAGGTTCCCCATTAAATCTATTAATACTTTTTTATTTTTCTTGCGATATTCTCCCCTGCCTTTCCCTAAATTTTTCAGTTAGGTGTATTTACAAAAATTTGCTTTACCTTCGCGTATTCATACAGTTTTGTATTTAGATCTGTTCGTCCTGAAATTTTTATGACTTTTACCGGCGAAAAGCAACCTTGTTTTATCAACAAGTGAAGCGCGTATTTATTTATTGCTATATTTAGTGTACATAAACTCGTCAAAATGGATGAAATCAAAGATTTGCAATTTCTTACTTCATTCACCTCTTTTCTCTTACGTTCATCCCAATGTCAATGTTAAACATTCAAAACCCCAAAGCTAACCGTATAAAATCTAGTAAGATCTGAAGTCCGCATATGCATATATGTACTCTTGCGACCAAACATGGGTAGGAGAAGTAGTTGTGTACACAATAAGCGTACACAATTACACGTATAGGACCTAGTGAATAGCGTTATTAATAGTCTTAAAATCATTGCTTTATTTCCAATTAATGTTTCATCATACATTATACATCAGACATTAAAGGGGAAACGTGAACTTTAAGTCCTTCAAAAGTCAAAAGTAAGTCTTACAAGATTATATAATTCATATAACGTGCGAATCCAGTCTTCCATGGTACTGCCATTGCGTGTAATCTTTCAAGATCATTTATATCATCTATGACTGCCTGTAAGTAATGTTATGTTACTATGATGCGTTCCATTATTAATTATGTCAAGCGATCGGATGAAGAAAGTTATTGAAGAAGGGTAAGTATACTAATGTATGTACAAAGTCGAAATGTAATATGTAAAATACCATTAATTTCATTGGTAGAGACTTAAAAAGCTCCCCATAAAAAGGAAAACTATAGGGAAACAGACAAACGAACGCTCTCTTTTTTCCTTTCCATGAATGATTTCTCTGATCCCGTTCCTCAGCGTTTCTTGTGTTTTTGGCAAACTTCTTATTCGCAAAAATTTTTATATAACAACTACAAATTTATTTTAAATTTTAATCCATTCCATTTTATTATACTAGCTGGAAATTTCTGGTTGCTTCTGGGATAGGACGGAAGGCGTACTTATAGAAAAGCAACTTTTGTAAGACGTACTTACAAAAAAAAAGCAACTTTTGTAAGACGTACTTATAAAAAAGCAAAAAAAAAATGATGCAGTGTAAGTGGAAGAACAGAAGCAAGAACAAGAAAAACAGCGAGAGACTCTAACGCGTATGCAATATTAGGGGAGCATTAGTTAATGTATATGTGGTCATTTGGATCTAGAGAATATGCAGACAAGACAATAGATGTTACTCTACGCTCTCGCAATACTACTACAGGCGAAAAAGAGATTTGTATCTTTGCTCAGAAAAAGGGGAGAAGTACAAACCAACCAAACAAGAAACAAAAAACGCAAAATATGTGTCTGTACTTAAATCAACAGTCTAAATTTTTCACCAAAATAAGTAAAATGCGTAATAACTTTAAAAAAATCATTAAAAAAACACAAAAATTCGTCAATACTAAACTGAATAGAGAAAGAAAAGCAAAAGGTGTTCCAAGGTTGTTGCGCATACTTGGCAAAGTATATTTTTTCTACCTTTGTCACTCTATAACTGTTTCCATCAATTCTACTCCTCTGTGTGTTTCTTTCTCTCATTAAAAATTTATTATTTTGTGGCTATACTGTGGTGTAGTTAGTGGTTTTTGCTATTTATTATTTTCCTTTACTTTTCGTTTTATGTTAAGGTCTCTTTGGTTAGTTTATTTGATTGTTTAGTTGAACTAATGGGTCAGTTTTTTTTTTCCTGTAACGGTAATCTGTGCCATTATCCAACTTTTAATTTTACTTAATTAAATTGAATTTTCGCACCTATCAGGGCAATCATGCAAGGAATACATATATACGATTACCCCTTCCAAACGTATTTTATGAATACAGATTAATTAAGTTCAACACTATTTAAAAACATACGGTTGCAAGTTATTAAAATCTTTAAAGTAGAAAAAAGTCCACGGAAATGACTACTATTACACTAACTTCGCATTAAACGAACAAAAAATATAGCACGACGAGCTTTTATATTAGTCGACTACAAACACAACGATAACAACGAGCAGAAACCAGCGACTTTTGTAACAAACGAGAAAAGTAGACATTTACAAGAAAAAAATTTTTTTTTTTTTTTTTGATAAATGGAATATCACGACACCAATAGCGACACAGAGGGAAATCAATCGAGATTGAATTATTGGACTTGTATCTGGAAAATCACAAAATTTTCCACTTAATTTAATATGCATTTGGAGAATCTCACACTTTTCCACTACACTTTCTTTGGAATCATTTCGCACACCGTTCTGCAAATTGATTCTTTGACACTCGCACAAAATTTTATTGAACAATGGCTGATTGTCGTTTCCACATTTATTTTAAGGCATTAATATTAATTTTTACAAATTTTATTTTCTTAAATTTTTCTGCAGTCAAAGCAAAAAATCACGTCATGGCTGCCACGTCCAAACAACAATGAATCGTGAAAATCTCATTACGTTTCACGTTAGTACTTTTACATATGGCGGAACAACCTGAATTAAAACTCATTTGTAATAAGAATATTCTTTTAAAAAATGTTTGCGCCTCTGTGCTGTTTTCACAAAATGCCTGTTTAAGTTATCCCTATTGTTGAAAAGTAGTAAATTCACCGCTATCCCCAACGATTGAAACTTTAAATAGGCCGTATTTATATAAGTTTATAATTTAAAAAAATACGAAAACATTTTATGCGCACTCATGAGAATAGTTTAATTTCAAATTGATTAGATATGACTCAATAAGTCACGTCTTTTTCCTTTATAAAATAAAAAGCAGTGTTGCCAGTTAGAGGATATTTAAAGCGCTGATAATATTCGGTGTAATATAAAATAAGCATAGGTTGGCAACTTTTGCTTTACTTTTTAAAAGGTACACTTCAAGGAGAAATAAAAATCATAAAACAACACATCAAATAATCTCAATAACTTCCTGGAGCCCGTGGTATTTGCAGATTCATATTTTTTACAATACTTGTACAATCCCATATAAATAACATAAATTTGCGGCTTTTAGCATAGATTTTAATAATTATTTCTTATGAGCTTTTTGTGAAAGAACAAATAAATTATAACAGCGAAAATACCGAATACAATATCCATTGAATTCTAAATGAGAAATGCAATGCCTATTTGCCTGATTCTTTTAATTCACAACTTTTAATTTAAATCTATATTCTATTTATATTTATTAGGTAATTATTAGGTACGCCTAATGTAAAAATTTTTAGTGTCAATGCACTTAAGTACGCATGAATTAGGTCTTTTGAAGCGCTAATCTTGACAATGGGACACATTTCTCATTGCGGTTGAATAAAGGAAGATTACATGGACTTGCTAATTTCATGTTCCATACTCTTTGCGTTTCATATAAATGAATCATTTTTAAATCACTACACTCATGTTGTAGATCTTAGAAGTATTATAAACACCATGCATAAATGTACACTAATATTTTATAATATAATATATAGACGCTTATGTACACATCTGGACAGAAAAGTAGGTGCAAGGCCCATCTTTCCGTTCTATGCCATTTGAATTACGGAATCCTCATATAACGTTTTTACATGTGGCAAAACTGTTCAAAATTAATTACCGGAATGTTACCTGAGGTATTTCTTGCAATGAAAAGTTGAGGGCTCTCATGTTACTTTAGTAGCTGGACAATGAGATAGATGCGTTCTCTTTAAAGTTGTGAAAAGTGAAGCCTTTTGGAAAATTTTGCTGCAAAATCAGGGAGAAACGTTCAAATTTATTGCCATATCACTAAATCGGTCACACAACTTTATCACGAGCGATTTAAACCCCCCAAAAAAAAAGTGTTGAGAGACGGGGAGCAGTTTAAAAAGCATCTCTTGCTTCCGATAACCGCACTATAACTTTAGAAAAGTGTGATCCTTCCAAGTCGTCTAGAGCAACTTGCAATGAAATTGAATAGGATATATCACACTGAACTGTTAGATATCAAGGTACTAGGAAGAATAGCTCAGACATTTCCGTTGTGCGCAGAAAAAGTTAAGTTGGATGAAAGGAAAGACTTCATTTTAGCCCATAAAAATTGATGCAAACCAGAAGCCGTAGAAAAGTAAAAAAATATATATTGGAGCGACGAAACAAAAATAAATGTATTTGGAAATGATGTGGGAAAAAACGCGTGCGGCATGGCAGAGAAAATCCAATGGTATAAGGCTTTTTTTTGCTGGGAATGTGTCGGTCGGGCCGATACATCTCAAAGAAAACACTATGAATAGATTTATATGTAAAAACGTGTTGGAAACTGCGACGCTACCGTATACCGAAGGAAATATGCTACTGCTACGGAAATTTCAGTAAGGTATCGATCAAGTAACTCTTACGGCATCAATCCTGTTAAAAATTTTTGGTGGAGAGGACTAAAGCGTCATGTTGCCATTAGCAATAAAAAAGCTTTGTGGAAATATTCAAAAAGTATGGTTTAGTAACCCAGTAGAGCAGACCTGCGATAATTAATTTCATCCATGTCTATAAAAATCGAAGCTGTCCTCAAAAAGGATAGTGGCTATACCGGCCATGGACTGTTTGAATTGATCATTATTAAGTTTTCGTATATACATCTATTTTCCTGTCCATCTGGGAACAAACGATATTTTTGAAATTAACTTGTTTTAAATTTTTATATATACTTCGCATAACTCTCAAAGTACAAATTTGTTCCTATTTTATAAATAAATGATAAATATAATATATAATAGAAGGAAAATGGAAAAGAATACCCTCCATCAACATGAAACAACATATATATACTTAAAATCATTGAATTATTAAGCCAAGCAGTCTCCGCGGTCTCTTTCATTTTCGCTTTTTTATCCGCAAAGTAACACTTTTGCATCATTTTGTCTCAGTTTCTTTGATGTCAAGAGAACTGGCGCAGATGTTAAAAGAGAAATCTCCGGAACGATTATTAAAAAATCCTAGCAGAATTAAACAATTACACACATGAACTCTATGTAAATCTGGGCAAGATAGTATGGGAAAAAAATGGAGATGAATATAATATTTAACTTTTCACCTTCTTTGAATACGTTTAGATACGTGAACAAAATCGCCATGCGAAGACTATCGGATGCATGCATTAAATGCAATCTTAATTGTTCCTTTTGCTCTATATATAGAGTTGGACATCACTACAAAGCCAACGACTAGCATAAGTTATAATTTAAACCTGATTTTGCTTTTTACGAAGCAAATACTTTGAGCAGCATGTAGCTGCACGTATAATGCTTTTGTTAACAAATATATAAAGGAGAAGCAAGTGTATTGTGATACCAAATTTACCGACATCAAAATTTTCATGATAGGATCAGCCCAGGATTTCATACTAAATAAGAGTGCGTGTCGATGTATCCCATGCAGATGATGAAATTTGCGTATTTCGAAACGATGACAAAAGTGAATGGACGAAAATAATTTGTAAATTCTATACTATCAAATTAAACAAGGCGGGAGCCATATCTCACCTATCCACCACTATGCTTTTCTACTCTCCAATTTCGTTTATTCGATATCCACACCGCTAGGGCCTACAATATGCATTTTAGAGTTAACCGATTTTTAAACAGATAATGTATCTTCGTTCGACAACCGTACAAAATAGTTTTAAACATTCGGTCTTGTTTGCATAAAACCCCAAAGAAAGTGAAAAATTAAATTTAATAACTTGTAACTTGGTTGTGGGCGTAGTCGATTTTTTCCATATTTGCACGTAAAGAGTAAAGTATTTTGTAAACTAAATTTGAAAATTTTCAACATATACCACGCAGACGGACATATGGACAGGCATGGCTTCATCAATTCAGAATTTCAGGCTGATCAGGACTGTATATACTTTACAGCGTCTCTGTAAAAAAAAATAATAATAAAGCAAAAAAACAAAAAAAAAAAATGAGTATATCGCAATCATTCAATGGTGAGTATAATAAGAAAATGAGAAAAAATTTATCAGAGCCGCAACAGACTTCACCGAAAAGTTTATTTTCAAACGTCACTGTGGTATAAGATATCCTCTAAGATATATTCTATTGCGATATGATTATGATTTTATAATTTTCATATTTACTCGTGCACCTTTTCAATCGTATCTTCTTAGCAATTTCAATTAGGAATATAGTTGATCGAAGAAACGCAATAAGGGGTGCTCACTGGGTACTAACATTAGGACTGCCTTTATTCAGTAGAGTGACGAGTGGTTAACAATGGATACAATGGTTCAATTGTAAACGAAAGTGTGACCCTCAATCAGGAAAAATTGAAGTAAATGTAAAAAAATGTGAATAAATTTATAAAATATGTGAGTAAATTAATAATAACCGGGACACTTAATATAGGAATGTTCAATGTCAACGAATTAATATAAATCAACACTTTCCCACCAAATACTACTCTACTTACCTGAAAAAAGTATTTCAGGGATAATATAAAACTAATACAAGTACCTATTTAGAGAAGCTAGGGTCAGTAGTTCCCTTTCGGATTCTTTGTTCTTGAGAAGTGTTCGTAACGAACAAATGTTTGTGTTTACAAAAAACAAAATGTAAAGTTAATTAAATCAAATTTTGATGTAAATATAATTGACAAATTAAAGATTTCATAAATAAAATGGTGATTGCCCCAAATCAAAAGCTCAATTACGATATTTTAATTAACTGTACGTTCCTCATACCATATAGCCTAAAGGAGAAAGGGAATTTTCAAGGGAATATTCAATCTAAGGAAGCACGAATTTCGTACATTTAGCAACTTTGCTAAAACATTTCAATTGCTTTTCTTAAAGTGAAATAATGTATCAAATAATTTAGATCCACGATGACGTACCTGCCCTTTTTTGCATTTCGCAATGTTATAGTTTAAACTTCCTCGGATCAGTTCATTCGAAGCAAATTTCAAGAAATTATAGTATTAATAAAGAGGGAATGAAAAGTCGCTCATATATTTGTATATGCAACAACAACAACACAAACTGTTCCACTGTTCTCCAAGTGAAAAAAATTCATAAACTTTATAATAATGCGTTTGTAATGATTTCATGCGCATTTGTTGTGTTTGAGCTATTTATGAAACAACTATTTGGTGCATTTATGAAATTTTTGTTATATTCTCAAAAATTTTTTTCTTTACACACGTAACTTTTTAAAAAGAATTTTCGTTTAAATTATTCCGTACTTACCCTGAAAAGTTTCTTCGTTTTCTTCCTCAGATGCCATAGCGAGAGATTTAATAAAGATTTTTTAAAAATATATTATTAAAACACGTTAAAATCTGCGGAAATTTTATGCACAATTTTTTTGACACACACACACAATCTTTTACAGAAGCGAGCGGCTTTAAACAAATATGGCGTAGGTAGTGTTGTCGAAATGGAAAATATAAGCAGTAGGGATTATATTAACCGAAAATGAAAAACGGAGTTTTTCAAGAAGAAAATGTCATTAATATTAGGAATTCAGCAAATGCATGTGTTTGTAGGTATGGCAAGTCTCTTACGATAAACGAAAGTTGTCATTTATAAACGTTATCATGTTTATTTTCCTCTTTGCGTGCATCGAAAGCAGAAGAACGTTGAATAATTCCTATTAATTCTGGCTTTGTGAATCAACAGCCGCACTTTTCATTGGTAATTAATTGTTTGTTTTGTTTCAAAGAGCATATTAACTGCGAATTATGTCCTATTATACGCGCAAGGAGATCGATGATTTGCACAATGATATAGCGACGCTGGCTGCGAAGGTCGTCAGTTCCGAAGAAGAAAAGTCTTTAATAATCAACACAATTGAACTATGTCTGCATCAGGGTTTCGAACGTCAATACTTATGCGAACAACTAGAAAAATTTGTAGATAGAAAACAATGCTTGAAAATGGTCGACAAGCTACAGGAGCACTTGGAAGAGTATAAGCGCAAATGTCGTAAACGTCCGGATGGAGACAGCACAGCAACCTCTGGTGTCGCAGAACCTGCCAAAAAATCACGGTTTGACGTTGTCCATCCTCATTCGAATGGTGAGAAGCCGGCACTACCACCTATTGTAGTACCTCCCGCAGTAATTTCAAATTCTTCCATGTCGCTTGGCAATTCTTCTAACGCTGCTACGTCTTCCTTAAGTAGTACTCAAATTAAATTAATGATGGTGAATGCACAACGCGAGATTGAGGAGCGGAAACGTGCTCTAAATCAGTTAAAAGCCAAAGATCCCATACTTGCTTCAGTGCCGCAAATTGGTTTACCGGTCGCTTTAGCCACGCAAGCCCTTTCGAAGAAGCCGACTCCAGAAGACGCTGATAAGGCCAAAAAAATTGCTGAGTTACAAGCTCAAATACGTGCAAAGCTTTCAGGGTCCTTAGCTACTCTAATTCAGCCAACAGCTCCAGTACAAGACAGGCCGAAACCATTGATTTTAGATGAAGATGGCCGTACTATCGATAAAACTGGGCGAGCTATTAATATACCAACCTTAACACCCACACTTAAAGCAAATATAAGAGCGAAAAAACGCGAGGTTTTTAATAAATCTCAAACCCATGCTGAACGCAATGCAGCTCAAGAAGAGGCTTTAAAATTTTTTGATGATCGCATAGCCCAAAAGTCTGCAGTGCGCACAAAGCGTGCGCTACGTTTTCATGAGCCGGGTAAATTCCAGCAAATGGCTGAACGTATGCGTATGAAGTCACAACTGGAACGGTTGCAAAATGAAATATCACAAATTGCCCGAAAAACAGGTATCAGCTCCGCTACGAAACTTGCCTTGATTGCTCCTAAGCAAGATACTCCTGACGATGTTCCGATGATGGAATGGTGGGATTCTGTTATTTTAACCAGCGATCTTAACACATTGGAGGACGACGGAAAAATTAGTATACGCAAAGCGGCCATTACAAATCTTATTGAACACCCTACGCAAATGAAACCCCCAAGTAAGTCACAGTGTAGATAGATGTTGCCCCTTAATTACAATTACTTGGAGTTTTGTCCTTCCGTTTGTGCAACATAGAAATATGAACCAAACACTTCATATAGTATTATCCATATTCCCAACTTGGCCAATTAATTTTACATGAAACAAATCCTCCTAAAAATTCAATCCTGGTATAATTAAAGATGTTACTCCCAAGATAAAAAAAAACCTTTAAAAAATATATATTTATAACAATTGATATCCTTGTTAATCGATTGACTTCCATATTTCGCACTATGAATACGATTTTTAGATGAACCCTTAAAACCGGTTTATTTGCCGGTGTTTCTAACGAAGAAAGAGCGCAAGAAGTTAAGAAGACAAAATAGGAGAGAAGCTTGGAAGGAAGATCAAGAAAAAATAAGATTAGGTCTTGTTGCAACACCTGAACCTAAGCTGCGTATTTCAAATTTGATGCGAGTTTTGGGCACTGACGCTGTTCAAGATCCCACGAAAATTGAAGCTCATGTACGCGAGCAGATGGCCAAGCGCCAAAAAGCCCACGAGGACGCGAACAATGCACGAAAATTAACAGCTGAACAAAAAAGCGAAAAAAAAATTCGTAAAATCAAGGAAGATACGTCATGTGGTGTCCACGTCAGTGTTTACCGTATTAAGGATCTTCAAGACAATGCTAGTAAAAAATTTAAAGTGGAAACAAATGCTAAGCAATTGCATATGACCGGCACTGTTGTCCTATTTAGAGATTGCTGCGTTGTGGTAGTAGAAGGCGGCCCAAAGCAACAAAAAAAGTATCGACGTCTCATGCAGCATCGCATCAAATGGGAAGAAGACAGTGTTAAGGGCCCTGATGGCCAAGAAGTTCCTAACGCTTGTGTATTGGTGTGGGAAGGCACTAGTCAACGGCGCCATTTTGGAGAAATTAAATTTAAAATTTTTCCCATGGAAAAAATGGCCCGGGAATTCTTTCAAAAACATCAAGTGGAACACTACTGGGACTTGGCCTATTCTGGAGCTGTCCTAGAAGCTTCAACCGATGAATAATTTCACTAAACTAAACTATCATTCGCAAAAATTTGTAAATTTAGATCTAAAACTGCAACAATAAAAGAATTCGTTATTTTTTTGGTAAATTGTACTAAATATATTTTAATGTTATAGTTTAGGCATTTTCAATATCGTTGTTGTCCCCAGCGGTTTGTTCGCGTTCTTGGGCGATGTGATATTTGACTTTATCAATTAAAACTTGACGTACGGTATCCAGCAAGCGTTGATTAATGACCAACAGGTGTTCACATAGACGCTCTAGAGTGTCTGACCTTATGTAACCTTTTTGGAAGAATTCAGATACTTGGCCTCCAGTCGATAGGCTAGCCACAACGACTATGCCATGCTCTTCTAGGCCATTAGCTTCAGTAATACATGGCAAACTATGCAGCAAATCTTCAATGTCACCTACAATAAATAAATTACTAATAAAATCTGTAAATATTTAGTTTAGCTGTTTGCGTACTGCTGGGGTTGAAAAATTCAATATCTTTTAATAAGCATACAGTAGACGCTGTTATCAGATCATAGGTGGGTATGCCGGCATCAATTAAAGCTACTCCACAGCAAGTAATGGCAGTGCTCAGTGCACATCCGTCATCATCTAGAACTAAAGCCTTAATTTCCAGCTGGAAATTGGGAAATTCGTTAAGACATACAACGGGTCCCAAGGCCTTCTTCAGAGCTGCGCTCATGAAACTTTCTTTGCGATTTATAGTTTCAACGTCATCCAAGGCGAAAGGTGCATATTTCACACTACACACGATAACGCCCAACGGATCGCTACAAAAATAGTTGAGTTTAAATGCTGGAGGTTATTAAATTCGTTTGTGTATATCACTAAATCACCTTTTTTTGGATTGCTTGTTCAATTCTTTGGGTGGTTCTATTTGAGCCATTACTTTAGTGTTACCGTATTCCATATAAGCAGATCCTTTCACATTGGAAACAGTTCCTACTTTCAAAACTAATCAGGAGCAAAATGCAGGCAATAATGAGTTATATGAAAAGTTAATAATACGCATCAAGGAACGAAACGAGGGTAAAGAAATACATACACGTGAGTCGCGGTTCCAGCTTTAATTCTTTAGGTTTTTTTAATCTTTCAAATAATTCGTCAATATTTTCCTTGGGCTTATAAGTTCCATATGTAATAAAGGATTCATTAGGATTGAAAGAAGTCATCTTCACAAATTTTCAGAAAACTTATTTCACCTTCCTTAATTTCTTAAAAAAAATCTTCGAACTTATTATATGTTATTATATGTTACTTATGATTTTAATATTGAACAGTAGTGATGGTAATTGTGCTTTATAATATTCGAATTAAGGCTCAATTACTGAATCCGTGCCGTAACAATATGTTGAATTCCGCTTCAAGCGCTGAAGCTTGGAATGCATTGCACACAAGTTGAGTATATAACTTGTGTTACATTATATTTTACACTGCAAACCTATAGGGTCCGAAAAACTTGTCGTACAGTTAAATTTTTTTTTTACATTGATAAAGCAATAATTGATATTGCAATATTTATATTGTATTTTATTTTCCTAAAACCATCACTGTGTTGATAATCAACGCAGGTATATGTCTTAAAATTTTTTCAACCATTTGCATTGCTGCAGTAATGCAATGTTAGCTAGGTATTCAACTTTGAGTATGTGATGCAAAATGCAAATTCGTTGTATCTAGGTCGTTACTCAATACTTCAAGAGAGAAAAAGGATTGTGTATAGAAGAACAAATATTGTAAAACCATCAAAATCCTGTAGTATAGTATATATAGCAATACGGCAGTTGAACTAGTAATATAAAAGAACACGAGAAGGTACATAGAATCACATTTAAAGAAATTTTCAGTGACGCTTGTAGTTCTTAGATCGTAAAAACTAAACTAACAACAGACGATATTTATAAGGTTACGATTGAATAAATTCGCTTATTTTATCGTAAATGTCGTAGGCTTTATAACGTATTGCTCGTATTATTATTGAAAATTGTAAATTACAGTTTCAATAGTGTTATTAACCTTTTTTTCTATTTTTTTTTTTTTTGCAGCGAGTACAGCGCTGTTTTGTTTTTTAAAAGAAAAAGTACATAAGAAAGTGTCGAGTCGACATAGAAAGAAATTTTCTCGATTAAAAATTATTTAGACAATGACTTACATGGAGTATGGGTTAATAAAATGGTACTTATTATCTCAGATTCTAATCAAAAATAAGCGGATCCCTAACAAATAAAAAAAAAAATAAGGTATGACTTTCCATACGTACTTCTTTCGTATACGCAATTTTCGGTTACCCTATTTATTGTAATTAAACATTCTAATCAAAAATAAGCGGATCCCTAACAAATAAAAAAAAAAATAAGGTATGACTTTCCATATGTACTTCTTTCGTATACGCAATTTTCGGTTACCCTATTTATTGTAATTAAATAAAGTAACTGCAAAACCACAAAGATTATGCATAGTACCTCTTTTTTCTTTTTCGAGAGGAAGAGGATCTCTGTTCATAGATGTTCTGAAAAACCAAACTCAAGATCAATATCTTTATAAAGCATTTTCTTAAGCTACGTCACGATAGATAATTAACTTATGGTGCTATGGTTTCCCATAGAAGCGTAGACTACAATTTATTATACCTTAAGTCAATTTTACGTAATGGCAGCCTTTGACATATTACAGCTGTGAATGAAATGAACGTTGAGTTGTGTAAGAATTTGTTATTTAGAAAATTAAAAAAAAACTGTCTTTTATGCGAGGCTCCCTATTATTAAAGGAATATAATATAATTGAGAAAATGAGTGAACCATGGCCAAATGATGCAGTACTTTATCAGCCATACGAGGCTGAACAGATTTTATTGGCGGAGAATGCCAGTTGCTTAGCTGTGAAAACCTATTTGAAAATGTGTAACCTGCCTTATGACATACGGGCCTGTGCCAATGCTGAATTTATGTCCCCGGGAGGTCGCATGACAAAATTGCCAGTATTAAAAGCCGGAGCCTTTATATTAGCTGAATTTGAGCCTATTGTTAATTTCGTAGAACAGAAGAATGAAGCTATCGGTAAATGGATGGATGAGGATGAGAAAGCAGAAATGCGTTCCTATGTGTGCCTAACGGAGAACATATTTACTATGGCTGAACTTTACATAAGTTTTATGTTAAAGCCTGTTTATGATGAAGTTACAGCTCCTCGCAATGGTTGCGTATTTCCCTGGCCCTTGAATAAAATTCAAAATTATTCCAAACGCTGTCAAGCAAAGAAAATGCTGAAAGTTTATCAGTGGACGGATATGAGTATAGATGATGTCATTGAGAAAGTACACAAATGTTGTGAAAATTTACAGATGAAATTAGGGGAAAGTTCAGGAGACTATTTCTATGGTGACAAACCGTGCGAATTGGATGCTATAGTGTTTGGTCATTTGTTCTCAGTGCTTACCGTAAAATTACCGAATATGGCCTTAGCGCAAACTGTGAAGAAATTTGAATTGTTGGTAAAATTCTGTCGTTTTATTGAAGATCAAGATTTCAAATAAAAATAAAAAAGGTCTTTTTAAAAAAGCGTATAGTACGGTATTTGTTTCTTTTTTTCTTTTTTTGTTATTTATCAGAAAAAAGCTTCTATTCAAATAAAAGATTTATGATAAAAATACACTAAAGGAAAAAAATCACTTTTGCCGCTTATATATTTTTTAAAATAATTAATAGCGTCTCACATTAGTACACTAAAGGCCCGAAATATTACTTGTGGTGATGCTGCGGCATAATATCCCAATTGTCGGATTTGGGTTCAACAGTTTAAAAGTGACGACATGAATTGACTGAAAATGCCATTTTTTGGCCAATTGTTGCAATAGTTGTCCAGGATACACTGCTACAACTCGAATGGGAAGTTCTGCGATACCTATCGTACTAAGCAGACATGACGCCTCCTGATTACCATTTGTTCAGATCGGTGCAAAATGACTTGGCTGGCACGCGTAAAGTCGAAGAAGAAACGTGAAAATGAATCGATGAGTGGATCGTTGCCAAACCAAATAAGTTCTTTCGACATGATCCCGTCATGCTGTCAAAAATGTTTTAAAATGTTGTAGCAAATGAATAATGATTAATATACATTGCACCAATATACATTTCCACAATAACTGCCCTTTTGAAGTGATCAAAAGTAATCAAAATTTTTGCAAACATCTAAATGAATAAATATTAAAAAAGAATTGATTTCGATTAAGAATTTAGCTAATATACTTGCTGCGCTGAACTTTTACCCAGTTTGAAAAGAAAAAAAATTCGTAATTTTTTTATGGATAGATTTATGTACGATATCGCATATGAAACTCGTTTTCTCTCTGCATCTGTGAAAGTTTTCCGGGTATCCAGAACTTCTATTATACTTAATCATGTGTATGCATAGTGTAGCGAATCTTAAATATCTATCCCCTGAAATAGGTATAGGAAAATCATACAATATATGTAATAGACTCTGATGAGTCCTTTTTCTAAATTTTAAATCAACTGCATTGAAGCTCTTTCTCTCTATGCATGTGTGAAAATCTTCCAGAAACTCGTTTTCTCTCTGCATCTGTGAAAGGTTTCCGGGGATCCAGAACTTCTATTAAACTTAATCAGTTGTATACATAGTGTAACGAATCTTAAATATCTATCCCCTGAAATAGCTATCGAAAAATCACGCAATGTATGCAACTAACTCTGACGAGTCCGTTTTCTAAATTTTAAGCCAATTTTTATTACCTAATGGAAATTGTAAAGAAAATTTTTGTTTCTATATTTCAGAGATCATTTAAGTTTTCCTAAAACATGCATCATTCATCATTCTAAAAACGAATTTCATTATGAAAGACACGAATCCGAGTGTAGCCTCTATTCAACTTGAATCAATTTGCATTTCTACCTAATTATTTTATTATTGTCATTACGTTGCTTATTGATGATTCGGCATAAATAGCAAATAATCTCAGTTGACTGATCTGATATATCAAAATTTTAAATTTGATTTATTTTGTGCCGGTTAAAAGACGACACACACACGCACACACACAAACACATTTATTGCAAAAATGAAGTCTCACACTCTATGCCCTGCGGATGATTAATATATGCTATGATTACTATAACTTGTATAAGAATATTATTTAACAACTTCAACAAAATTATTTATATGAAAGTCAAAGGTTTTATGTCACTGATACATTTATATATTTTCTAGAAATTGAAATATAAAATAATATAAAAAGAAAAGTAAAGAAAAGCAAAAATTATTTTTCCCATTGATACATTTATTTCTTTTAATTTCATTTTTTTTTTTTTTTTTTGTGTATACATATAATGATGCGTTTACATGTACGCAATAATTTCAACACAATGACATTCATGTGTATAAAAATATGTATGTCTAGTAAGTGCATGGTGTTTATTTCATAATGATAATTCATATACTATTTGTTGTTGTCTATTAAAAATGGATTACATTTATATTAAAAGGACAAGTGCATGGGGTAAATTAGTATAAGAACATAAAAAAAAGGTGAGTCCGAGAACTGCATACGTATATAACTACAATGGTTCGGCAGTAATAGCGTGATAAAAAAAAAAAAAAAAAGAAAAAAAAAAAGGTAAAATACATTTATAAAATTATTTTTCTAAACAAAATGTTTGCATATGTTTACGTGAATCATTCAAAAATCAAAATATATCTATACAAAGGCAAACAACTCAACAAAAAGTCACAGCAATAAAATACAATGTCAACGTTTCTCCGATTTGCTATGCAGAGGCACAGAAAGACGCGTGCGTAGCATGTGAGCTGCAGACTTTCCATTTGTTTTAAATTCTTGCGATTTATTGTTTTGATCAGCGTGACTGGGTAGGCAGGCTATAGATTGACGCCTTGTCGCTATGCGTTTATTAGCAGAGTTATCATGTTTTTGGTTACTATTTAAATTTTTGGAAGTTGCTGTTATTGTTGCGTTTGTTGTTGTGGTTGTTGTTGTTATTATTGTTGCTGCTGTAGCTGTATTGGCAGTGCTATTGCTATCGTTCCTTTGACGCTTTGAGGCAGGTTGTTGATTATCTGAAGGCCCACGATAGTTCATTGAAAGAGAGAGAAATTAATTCAATATTAATATTATTTCTCTACAAGTTTTATCAAAATAATACAACACGATATATATATATATATATATATATATATATATGTTTATATATACATATATATTTATATAGATATATACATATATAGATATATATATATATATATATATATATATATATACGCATGTATATGTAACCTTGAAGAGAATTATCTCTTTGTTATAATTATTATTATTATTATTATTATTATTATTATTAATTTTTCATAACCAACTATTAATGCTATTATCGATAATTTATCATTGTTCATATGCATGTATATACGTATTTATGTTTCGAAGATAGTAGTAGTAATAATGATAATACATATCGATGTTGTTTGCCGTTCAATTTGTATCGCAATCGCAATCGCAATTTTCAAATCCATCATTAGCTTTATGCTCTCCGAATTCATGCAACAATGTTTGATGTTTGTTGAACATTTCACTTTCATTACGTATATCATCGTCATCATCGTCATTGTCATCATCATCATTAAGATCACCATCATCATCGTTTTGTTTAATGTCATCAGCTTCATTATCATTATCATTAACAATAAGTTCAACTTCAACTTCAGCTTCAGCTTCATCATCATAATCATCGTCTGTAGCGGTAAATTAATAAATAGAAAAAAGAGCAGAACCAAAAGAAATACATTCATTGAAGTTGACATTTTTGTCACGCGATCTTTCTCTCTCTCTCTCGCTCTCTCACGCGCGCGCTTTCTCTCATCCACTCACTCTTTTTATACTCAAAATTTTCTCACCGTTTATATACATATATATAAATTATATATATATATATATAATTATATATATATATATATATATATCTTTTTCTCTCTCTTTTTTTATTTATTACTAATATGATTGTGATATTAGAGAACATATGGTTGATATGATTAACACAAATGCGAGAATAACATCATTGAACAAGAACGAGATGATGATTGTTATTAGCAATATTAAAGCTGACGGAGAGATGACAACGATGTAATATATGTGTGATGAGTGTGAGTCCGCATGTTACGACAGAACTATTGTTGAGCTCTCATGAATTGTAAGAAACATATATCGATAAATACAAAAATATTAAGATTTTAGTAAATCATGTTAAAAAAAATTTTAAAAAATATTATTTACATATGTTTAATTTAATATAAATATAATATTACATTAATTAATTTTAATGTAAATGTTAATTATATTTTAAGATACCTTAAAATAAATAAACGAATAAAACTCGATTTTACATTTTACAAAAGGTTTGTCACATTCCGCGTTTCAAGTTTACGCTTATCACCCGTATAACGGGGATATATTTATGTTGTCAATACGGTCGCATAACATCCCGGCCACAAACTTGGCAAAAACATGGCAAATTCTTGCACGTAGATTGACGTTGAAAATAGGGCTAAAACGATCGATGTGCACGCGTACAATGGAGCATCTCTCTTAGACGCATCTCTACTTTCTAATAAGAACGTTCACACGTGCTCTTTAAAAATGGTAAATCGGCTGTGGCCACTCATTATCGTATGATTTTTCCGTCTTTCCTCATTTTTTAAACATAAAAATGGTGGGTACAAATGATTCGGTCACAGCCGAATATAATTTCCTTACTTATTTCTCAAGCAAAGGTTTACTCTGTTCTATTTTTATACCTATCACCCAGAGATCGGAGATTTATTCGTTTTGTCGAAACATTTTCAACATCCACAAGGAGCTTCACAGTTACTACAAAGTGTAGGTGAGTCTTGAGTTCTTGATCTTGAGTATCCAATATTTTAATCAATTTAGATATATTCGTTTATATAAACGTCTCCGCCAAATGCAAAAAATGGAGCGAGTCGATTATAACTTTCTTCCGATCTTTTGAATATGACTAAATGTCTTCGAGCTATCTATCGAGCTGGTTTTTAAATCAATCTATTCCATGCTGCAATTTGTCTTGAAAAAAAAAAAAAAAAAACAAAATTATCACCCCGGCGCCCAGTGTAGTTATTTTTGATATATCCCTTAACATGGATCATATTAATTAATGACTTTATAGATCAGATAATGAAAACGCGACTATCCGGCTGTTAAAGTTCTTGAAGACATTTGCAATTTAACGGTTACCTCTAAAGAAATGATGTAAAACAAGTAGGGAAACCCTCTTGTTTCGTCCACACAAGTAAATATTCGGAGGAGCGAAAGGAGTTAGCTTCATTCAGAGGAGAACATCAACTTTCGGCTCCCGCGAAGATTTTGTAAGATGAATACAGCCACTGTTCATCTACTGTATGCCCAGCTCTATTGTAAAGTTTCTTCACGTACGTTATTCGTACGTAATTCGGATCATTTGAAACTTAGAAGGCTACGTAGCTCTAAAATTTTAAAAACTATTAAGGTTTACTTGAATTCTAACTTTATGACTATCACAGGGAGTATATAAGCTTGGTCAAACGTTTGCAGCGTATAAATATATATATCGAAGATTCCATTAAACCCGCGGCCAATAGGTTTAACTGTATATGTGAAAATTATAATCATAACTTTAAAAACTCATTATCTAAAGAAGCAAACTTGGTTGCAAATTATTTCTTTGTTAAGTTCGAGAATGAATTAAATCGATGTAGGGATCGGTCCAAAAAGTAGTCATCTTTTCTCGAAAATTTTGAAGCTTTAGAGCCTCACGTTTTATTCAAGCATTGTCTTTGCCAACTAAAACGAGCATTTTACTCTTACCTACCGTAAGATAGAGTTGGACCCAGTATCTATTATCGAACGAGCATATTTAACTAATAGTAAGCATGTTTGCGTGCGGATTAAGTTTGAAATTTGAAATGTTCCCATTATTCCTTTTCGTTTCAGGTTAATATCTGCTATAGATTGTAGGCTGGGGCTTTTCATTTGCTACGGGCGTAGTCGTGGACAGATCGAGTATGTTTTCACTCTTGATATTTTTGGTTCAATTTTTAACTTTCTACAAGAGACAATGGATGCTCGTTGCAAAGACCCAAATAGACGTACGAGCAAGCTATATTGACTGAAAAACTTTCACCCTTCTAGGATATGCACATTTCGTGATATCTTTAATGGATAATGTAATCAGAAAGGCAAATCTAATGTACTTCCATTCTTCGATGATGGTATAAAAATTTCATCTAAGGCGCATATAATTGGATTTCAGTTTTTGTTACAAAATTACCTCACGCTAATTGAGAGACGGAAAATGAAATATATTAGCAACAAAAAATTGTATTCAATGTTTCAGTTCATATGGAAAGAAATTTGAAAGCATAGATTCATGGACGCTTGGATGTCTATGGATACATTTACACATGCATGAAAGTTAATTTATTGAAAAATTCTCCCATTATTCATGCATTTTGTACCCATTACCTTTTAATATATAATAATATAAATATATATTGTCATTTCTTAGCAGTGTGAGCCTTGAGTCTACTGTTGAAATTTTTCAAATCATAAAAATGTCAGTAAGTAGAAGGGGCGTCGATGTTCATTGATTTATATTAAAAGTGAGCACAACGTCTAATGACTTTCATATATTCAATCGTTTTGTAAAAAGATTTGTAGAAGTGATTGAGTGAATTAATTCATCTTTGTAGTGATTAACCGTTGCGTCGCTCGTTGAAATGATTGTTTATTTATAATTCTTATGATATATCAAACGGAATGACGGATATTTAGAGTAAATAAACGTAAACGAAATGAAAGTACCATAAGGGCTGATCATTGGACGTGTAACAAACTATAATACGTAAAATATTACTTCGAATTTTTATCGAATTATTAAACTATGTGAAGAAATGATTTGTGAAAGAAATGAATTCCAATTGACGTTTTGAACACATTGGGATTTACCTTTTGTTGAAAGTCTTCTTTTTGCGGCTTGGGCTTTGGCATCAGCCACTGTCCGATTGCGATTTGCTTCACCATTACTGTTTCTCTTTAAACTATTCAATTTAGACTTTGTATCATCATCGTGGGAAATTGCCGATTTACGGGCTACACTTTTACTTTCCGAAGATTTGTCACCGTTTATAGCATTCGAGAGATTGCCGCTTGATCTTTTAATGGCGGTGTTTGAACGTTTTGATGGAGGTTGCATGGCGCTTTTATTATCCATAGAAATATCTTCGTCCAACGTTTTGATGATAGGATTGGGAGGTGGAGGTGGTAACGATTTTAAAGGCGATTTCAATTTCTGTTCATCTTGCTTATGAATACCTATTTCTAACCAGAATTTTAACTGGGCAGCACGTTGTTGTGACATCATCTCTCGGCCTTCTGAATATTTACTGAGTATTCCTTGAAGCTTCTGCACAGTCTTGTAAACGGTTTCCGGCGAAACGAGACCGTAATCGAACAGTGAACACATATGTAATATAAAGTTACGATAAATATTTTTACGAATAATTTCGTGGCCATTTACATCGAGAAACATCTCGCAGGCGAGGGGCAATTGACAATCGCCTACGAAACCGTGCTTCATAACATGCAAATTCCACAATTTCATAAGTTCCTTTTCTCCCTCGTTAACATCGGTAAATTCATCAATCATTTGGATTGTTTTTTGACGCAGCCAGAGCGGATCGCTTTCGCCTTCTGAATCAATATCAAGCTCTTTGGGGTGAACAGGTAAACAAGTCTCAGTATGATGATATAATCTGTGAAACATGTTCTTTTTTTTTTTTTAAATTGCTTTTTTTAGTTTTTTGTTTCACTTACCTATTGTGTCCTGTTATGTAAGGTCTCTGATTGCTTAACTCATCTTCATCTAAAACTAAAAACTCATCTAGACCAGTTTTTTGACGTCTGGGTCGACAAACCAATAAATTTGTTACAGTTGTACGTCGAACAGGACCGCAGGTGCGTGCAAACGAACATCCTGATGGTCCCGCTAAATCGTAAGGAGAGCCGGCATATGAGCCGTCGTATGCATCATTGATCGTTACATCAATTCTAGCACCATTTCCAGCCGCTGGCTGATACGTAAAATTGAAACGCGCGTGACACAGTTTCAAATGCTTGAGCAATGAATACAAACGCATACAATCTAAGCCGCACCAAGGACATATTACTTCCTGTGTGTATTCTGTTTGTTGCCTAGTATTATTGCTGTACAAGAAATTGTAAACAATTTGTGTTTTTTCCGGTTTGGTAGGAGCTTTCAAGGATCCCTTTAACGATTCTTTACTATTATTGTTTATATTATTAGGAGAATCTTTTAAAGAATTATTATTATTATTATTGATGTGATTTGTTTTTCGGTCATTTATGGACATATCGCCCATTTGACAAGCTGCAACCATTTCATTAAAACGCCCATATTTCTCCATATCTGCAGTGAACAAGCTCTTGGGCAGTTCAATGGCGGACCAAGTTAAACGAAACTTTAACGTAGGAAATTGCGTGAAGACATCAAATTTCATAGAAATCGGAATGTAATTATCTGGCAGTGTTTCCCAGCTACGCTTCTTTGGTGAAAACGATTTAATACTCATACAGTTGAGTTCCTGTAAGGCAGCCTCATAATCTCCTTCTGGCAAGCAACCTATATTCTTCTCATAAACGATTAATTCACAGCCATAGATTTTATGTGAATATTTGGGTAATTTGCTTGGCGTTTCTGGGAAAGAGAAAACGAAAAAATTGCAATTAGCGATTCGCTTTCGTATAAAACCCCCAGTTGTTGATCTGAACAATATCATCATTACAAATGTAGATATATAAGTATGCGTACGTGCATACTTCTCGTTTCAAATTACAACTGCTCGCTCATACATACTTTTTATCCAGTTAGTTAATATTAAAATTGTCCATGGCAAGCATACAAGCAATGCTTGAGGTCCACCATAGCTGTGGATTCAATTAAATCCAAAAAATTTTATTTCTATGTACATATATATATACACACACATGTATATATACCTATATATATATATATATATATATATATATATATATATATATATATATACATGTATATGCATGTATATGTGTTTATATATGTAATTAAAAACCTACTTCGCCTTGTAGCTATACTATAACACAAAGAATCGCAAAATTACAAATCTATCTAATGGTTGACAATTATTTGAACTTTAAGCATGTTAAGCAATTTTTTTTTGCAGGTGCAGGCAGTGCCAACCGTTAAATACTCTAGACCCTTTTGCTTAATACGACTCATTTATTTTCATAATAATATACCAAAAATCACATTTTATTTCTTTATAAAGGCCTCACTTTTCATGAGTAATTGATGTCCAAAAAATTTCACTATGTGGATCAAATTTCGTATAATTTTTATGCAAATTACTATTACCATAATAAATTTTCATCTTAAAATGTTAAAAAGTAGATCTTCCTTCCACCTAAAGGTTTATTTTTTATAGGAACATTTATGGACGAAGGAGTTCAAAAAACTAATTCGCGTCTCCTTAACGTGAGCTTGAAAGAATTTACTTTGCAAGCTGAAATATGGCACGTTTATAAGCCTTATTCATCCCCTATCCGTTATATATGATCAAGTAAAATAAATTCATATATGTTTATTAATGCAGTGAAGTACACAAAAATACGAAATCGAGAAAATTACGCAGTTATGGACCAAGCGTAAGGCATTGCAATTCACGACAGCTATAACACGTCCTTATCACATAACAAAATGCTTTTCTCTTAGAATATTTATAATTACAGTGAGCCATTTGTTAAGTATTTTGTAATAAGCTGAGCTTTTCTTAAATCATAAAAAGGGACATTGACTCTTAGAGCTCTTCAGCTCTAATGTACAAACCTCAAACTATACAAATTAATATCTGATTAAGACAATAATTTTAATTTAAGCATAGCTTTGCGTTTGGAGTAATTATGTTTACTCTTCTTTTTTTTTTTTTTACTCTACCTTCATTGTGAACCTCTCCGTTACTAACAGTTGGATTAACTTTAATGCGAAAAAGCAATTTATAAATAGTATGTTGATCGCCCAAAGGATGCATTGCCTGTGCTGGTATGGAAATTGCAGCTAATTGTTCCATTTTCTCTGGTGGATTATATATGACAGCCGAATTGTAGCTCTGGAAAGTATGCATGTTATTTATCCACTAGTAAAGACCTACAATTTTCCTTTTAATTAGTTACCAAAATTTCTTGAAAATCTGAAGTACTATCTTTGCGTTTGCTTTTGGTAATTTTATATAAAGTAGATTCTACCAAAAGTGTATCACCCGCCTGCCAAGAATGATCACTGCAAGGATTTTTCTCAAAAAGTCCATTGTAAATGATGTTGAGGTAATTGTTTGATAATGTTTGAGTCTTCTGCGTTAACATCTCCAGCATAGAATTTACTTTGAAAGCGCTGCGTTTCCTGTTATTTCGCGACATGCGTTCTTTCATATAACTTAATGTTCGTTGTAAAAATATAGGACTGGTTATGTGACGATTGCGTAAAAAGCGGTAAATCTGTGTTGGCTCTGTAAGATATGCAATCATTATATATAAGTATGCGTATATGCTAACGCATATAGACGTACTTTCAAAAGCCTGCAAAAACAGTTCCTGTTCTTGCTGATGACCATTAAGTTTGATCGCTTCTGCTGCTGACGCGGCCGAACCACCTGCAGAATCTGAATTGGAACCATTGCTAATCAGTTGATTTAGTTGATTACCAGCTGTAATATCTGTTTTGGAGCTGCCATTTTGGTTAGACGCCAACGATTCTTTTATTTCCTTGTCCCGTTTCTTTTGTGGTGGCATTCTTACAGCACACACACTCTCTGTAAAGTGAACGCTACACGCACTCGAGTTAAAGATAAATTTAAAAATTGCCTCTTTGTTAATCCCTACGAGGTCGCATGCATTTAAAATAATTCCATGTATGGATTCATAAAACTAGAAAATTTAATAAATTGTCTAAGATTTCTTTATGATAAAAACACAATTAAACGGCGCGAAATTCTTCACACGCATTTATGCAAAACAACGTTGCCTGATTTGTTCACAATCGCTACTGGAATATGGTTACCGAACAGTACAAAAATAGTGCCATAAATATAAAGATTTGTAATAAAAAGATTGCATTGCCTTGTAAGGTTAATATGTTTTTCCAACGCTTCATGTTTTATAATACCTAATTACAATGTGAGCAGCTGTTCTTATGAGCACTTATAAGAAGTGTACGCCTAATGGAATAATGGTTTTAAAATCCACTCCAAGTAGTCTGCTTTAAATCTCATTAAAATTTTTTTCTATGAAAATTAAGTATTTGAAGGATGGTGTTAATAGTTTTGAAGGAAAAATAATATTATTAGCGAAGTGAAAACATATTCCAATGCAGTCAAGTCTCATATTGCGTAAGGCTTAGGTGCTACAAACTCTTGACATTAAATTATTACGTTAGTGACAAATTCAATGCTTCATCTATATAGTATATTTCAATTTAACACCCCTTCTCTAAAAAAAAATTAAACCATATATATGTGTGTGTTTGTCAAAGAGACCTTTTTATAAAAGTTATTAATTATAAAATCTAATCTAAAGTAGATCAATATAAATTCTGCCTTCATTTTTTTTCTCTATATTGTATATCATAATAAAACGACGAGTGCATTGTCGACATATAATTATGATAATGCAATTCATCACAAGATATTTTCAACCCACATGCCTTAGTGTTATAGGTCATAATAATAATAAATCAATTAGATAGCCTATGCGTTAGCCCATACTATTATAGTCAGCTATAACTAATATTATCTAGTAAAACGAAAAAAAAGTTGAAAATGCACTAGAAATTCGATTAACACTGATATTCAGAATAACCAGGTGTCTGAAAGTTGGGTTTCGTTTGCGATCAAGCCGATCGTTGATAAGAATTTTAATTGGAAGAGTAGAAAAACGAAGCAAATTTTTGCTTATATTTATTTGTGGCATTCAAAAGTCAGAAATAACAGTTTATTGTCCTTTTTGATGAATTATCAGGTAAACAAATTCTTTTTCTTCGATAATCTTGCAAACTTTTTGTGAGTGGAACTATAAGCCATCCTTATTTTGTTACGTTTCAATGTGCATATATTATGTATACTTACCGATTATTTCTGCCATAATTAGCTAAATTAAAAATAATAGCATATAACATACTTCTTACTTAAGCCATAGGAAAACTGTACAAAACATTGCCAACAATCCTGCGTTTGAAGACTTTTCTGTCCATTAAATTAAATACTCATTTTAATCGTAATCGCCATTAGATTTCCAGTTTGATATTTTTAAATACAGCCAACGGAATATTAGTAATCAATGAATGCAATTTTTTAGGAAAAATCTTATCATCATTGCGTTGTTAAGCTAAACGTACGCGAACACGACAACGGGTGGATCTATGATCTATGGTTTCAGGAAGTAATACAAGTGTGTCAATAGTTGGTTTGTTTGTTTGGATTTTGGCATTCACAAATAAATACAATATAAAATTTCACTGCTTTTCTGCTTTTTTATTTACACGTGAATAAAAGTAACGAAAATGGCAGGAAAATCTCATTTGATCACGTGAAACGTGTATCAAGTATCGGCTTCTCTCCAAAGAAACTTAGCTTTCAGATACGTGATTACCATGCCGTGTTCCCTTATAAATAGTGCAAAACGTGAATTTTTTAACTTTGGCATAATTTGATAATCAGGAGAGAACATATGTGATGTGTAAATAAGACGAAAAACGAAAATATAACCGGCAAATGCCAAGTTAGTATCAACTTGTTTATACTCTTTTCGGTTGTCAAGAGAAGGTACGGTGGAAAGATATTTGCAACAGTAAACTAACAAACGATCATTTTCTCCGTGCTTTCGATGATTGAAAAAAAAAAATACAATCAAAAGCATTTTTGAAATATTACTGGAAATAATTATATTTTTCTCGTGCGAGATTTGTGTTTTCTGAGAAAAATTCAAGGAGTTTACGTTTAATGTGTGAGGATTCAAACACAAAAATTGTTTGCAAAAATTTTTTCTGATTCATATCTAATTTAACATCAACAATACCACTCATTCCAAAATGCATTATTTGGCTGTCCACAATTTCTTGGATTCTGTACATATTTACACAATCGGTAGAGTAACAAGCCCTCACCATCCCGCTTGAAGATGGGGACTTTAAAACACCTGGAATCAGAACCTAGGCCCATAATAGGAGCGGGTACTCAGTATTTATTCAATTCAGACAAATTCAAGGTCTTCTAGAAAGTGAAAAGTTAATTCTATTCAACAATAGTGACCCTATCCATTTTGATTCTGTTCCCTCCTGCGTAGATCTTTCGATTGGCACACCTAGTCTTACTTTCCTGGGTACCTGGAACACCTTTACGTATACTTTAGGTAGTTCTCATTTTAATTGGTAGTGCTCATCATAATTGAAACTTCACTTTCACCCCATCCCATCGTCCGTAACTTTTCACACACCTTAATTCCAAAATATGCCAAATCCTCATTGATTAACAATATTGTCCGTAACACATCGTGGGTTGTTTCTTTGATAATTTTTCTAAGTGTTTCACAAATGCCCTTTGTCGAAAGACTTAAAAAAAAATTACAGCCTGCCAATCCCGGATGGAATACCGCGTGCAATCGAGCCGCTGAGAAATTCAAACTCGCTGTCAACAAATGTAAAACATCTCCTTCTAGAATACATTTTAAAGCCTTGGACGATGTTAGAAAGGAATACCCACATACTCTTAGGCTGGAAAAACGTAAGGGCTCGAAAAAAGTTGTGAAAATGTCAACATTGATTTTCAGATCTTAAGCGTTTTATATCCGCGCTAGTTTTCAACGAATTCTGTGATAGTTTTGCTAAACTTCCGATCCTGTAACACCCTCTATACTGCACAATGAACAACAGGATAATTTCTTCTTAAATTATATACCCTTCTCTGAATTCAATCCATAATTCGTCTCTTTAAAGACCCATTTCCAGGCTAAGATGGCATTTGTAACAGTCAACTCAAGGCCTTGAAGATTGAAAATAAGTTCATTCCACTCCAGAGTTTCAACAGTATTCGAAATAGCGCTTTCATTCCACCTTCTTGGTACGGCTTCCATGTTCAACTTAAGAAAACACAATGATTTGCCTATTAGCTTTAATTTCTACAGATGTGCTGCCTTGTTTCTATTCTTGGAAAAATGTGCAAAAAAATATTGTGCTCGCGCCCAAAGTGAATCTGAACGCATTCTCAATTATTTTTAATTCGGGTTTGGGCTTTGTTGTGCCGCCCAAGACAATAACTTTATGGTCTGCAATCAATACTGGTACCTAAATATTAACATAGAAGCTTATTCCTCTAATCATCGATGCAGCTCAGTATTTTCGGCTAAATGTCTTACGATCCTAGAAACTATTCGCTTAGCGGATACTCATTCACAGAAAAAATTCGTTACCGTGCCAGACAATAAATCAGTCTTATTTGCTTTGCAAACGTGTTTCCCTCGGGTAAAACTCACCCTGTCGTGTTAAAAATTAAATCTTCACTATACAATCTCAAATAATCTGATGCGGTTTGTTTCCAATTTCTTTAGTCGCATGGATATTCAGGGAAATACCAGTGCGGGTAATAGGGCAGCATCCTGACCATCGCATATTAATAATTAATGCTCTAATTTTTGCTGATATGAATGAAATGGCCAAAAAACACCCAGTCTGGCAACAGCGGTCGAATAATTGATTTCATGTTTGTCACTTATTCTCTTTGTACCTGCACATAAATGTAACACTTTCGTTTACCTATTGTAGCCTCGGACGTGACATTATTTGCCTTATTAATAGGCTGACGTTTACCTACCTATACAAACTTAACGTAGTGAGCAATTCCTCGTACACATGTGTGGTTTTGCAATCTCCTGACCATCTCTTTCATGGTCGAAGCATAATATAAATGTTTACAGTCAAACTATGAATCTACTCTTTCACATATTGTGTTACTTTCGCAGCATGTGAGTTCTTGCCTGAGACACCTACATACACATATAAATACTCCATGACATCTCACGCTACGAAATTGAAAATTGTTTAGCTCCCGTACTATCTAATCAGTGTAAAACTGGGATAAGTGAAAATTGGGATGAAGATGACAATGACATATTTGCCTCCATAAGCATGCAAGAAATCTTAGATCAAAACGAGAAGATCAATAACTCTCCCAATATATCTAAATAAGCAGATAATCCAAAGTATGGCATTGATATTCCTCACACTTTTTTGATGCTACTTTTTATAATTTTTTTTTTATTTCTGCAGGTTTTCAAACAGCGAATGGCAAGAAAGTGGTCATATCTGAGAAAGGCAAAAAACGCGTGGAAGCCTTGCTAAATGAATTTCATGAATGTGAGGGTGATGGGGATAACTTGCTTTGTATAAAAAATAAAATTATTTCAAAAAAGGAAAGATGTTTTCCAATTGAATACGATGGACGTAATCAATAAAAAAAGTTACACGTTTGCGCTTAGGAATTTATTTATTATAAATATTTATTTGTTTATTTATTTCCACAACTGAAAGTCCGCTAAAATAAATTATCAGTCGAATTCAATCGACTCTTAGAAATAAATCTTAGACTAACCATTATTAAAAGTATATAAAGAGCAGTAAAAGAAAAAAAATTTTTATGTATAAATAAATAAGAAAAAAAGAAAGAGAGCATGTTCATATCTAGCACAGAGGCACACGCACAACCGGTACAGATTCAAGTTGCGAGTTGCGAAAGAGACCAACAACAAAGTCATACTCAAGTATTAATCTAACTAAGCACATGCACATGAAACCTACCGCGGACCAAGCTTTATTTAAAGAGAGCTCAATATGCAAATTAAAACGTAATTTTTGGTCGAACAGAACCTCTAAATCGATGAACGAATCTACGTTTTCTAACTTGTGTGAATCGATAAAACACTCAGTTTTGAGAAAGAAAGCTTCTTGCGTTTTTTTAGATTTAATTTCGTAAAATTTAACGAACACCATGTAACCAAAAAATTCAAGTCAATTTGAAGTTGATAAGACTGCGATTCCATCCAGGGGAGATCATTAATGAAGAAATAAAAGGGCTCTAAGTGGTTACCTTGTATAGCTAGAGAATGATTTGTTATGCAAATAAGAGCTTATCGATTTCGCTAAGTAGAAAGAGAAGCCAGCGGCATAGTGTTTGAAGATCAATCAGTTATGGTCAACTAAGTCGAACGCTATACTAAAATCAGTATATACGACATCCACTAGATTGAGCCTCTAGGAAAAGGTTTGAAATCATGGTAAGTAAACTCCTTGACCTTCCTTCCAAACAGTCATGCTGGAATAGAAACATATAAGATTTGAAGCAAAAGCTAGATGCTAAGTAACAATTCGATCAAGCAATTCAGGTAAGACACTCAAGTTGGCAATGCCTCTACAGTTCTCAACGTGATATCTGTTTCCTCATTTGTGAAGTGGAATAATGAAATTTCTCTTCCGACACAAAGTGAAAACACCCGATTTCAAGAACTGATTAAAAATGTTTGGAACAACACCACATAGCTCGTCAGAGCATGATTTGAATATACATGATGCCGTCAGTCCCATGGGCATAGCTATATTTTAAAGCTCTCAAACCATGTAAAATGTGGTTTCCTGAAGATACTAAGTTAGGAATCGAAATCGAGCTAGTGATCTGATATGGATAGTTATCAGTTAAATCGGAATCAGCAAATTAAAAAATTTGATCGAAAGTATTCAGCAAAGAAATTTGAAGTTCCAATATCACTGGCGGACTTGGAGTCATTGAAAGAAACCTGTGGGGCGTATATGGAAATTTTTTCTTTTGGAGTTGACAAGCTTATAAAGATATTTAGAATTAATGACCAAGGTATCTGCAATAATATTGGTGGTTAAGATAATTATATCTATGGCTTCCAATAGTCGTAAGCAGAAGCACTTCTGCTAAATGTTCGGAAAAGTGTGTTTTTCCTACTTTTGTACTATTTAATTCCCTTGTTAAGCCAAAGCGAACACTTGCGTCCACGGCTACGATACTTGATCGTAATGGATGCAAAAATAGAACGACGACAGTAGGGTTTCAATGTTCTCAGGAGAAAAATCGAACATAATGTATGAAAGATGAGATTTAAACAGTAAAATATTGGTTTTATTAAAATCATAACATTTTTTGATAAAGTTGGATATTACGCGCTAGAATGGTTCAACGGTTCCTCATGCTGGCAATAAAACAAAATACAAATTACTCAGGTAAATGAATGAATGACATACTAAGTTGTAATTATATTATATCAAAACTTTTGTTCCTTACGGCATTGATTTTTTTTTGGAAGATAAAGACAACGAATTTTGATTATATAGTTTTTAAACAGTCTGTATCAGAATTGCTGTTAAAGACTCATTGTTAAGTATTGCCGCAACGTAAAGCTTTTACATATATTTAATATTTTACCAACTGTCAAGTTATGACGTAAAGAGCAGTGTATACTCTTTCCTTCCTTTATTTCCGCCAGCCAAAAAAGGTACGACAATCTGGGAATTTATCTAAAGTTTGATTATTAAATATCGTGACCATCATAATAATAACATTCGGTTTTTTTTATAATTGCCGTGCCCAAATAATATATTTAATATTAGTAACCGACGAAAATGGCTGATGTTGATGTGTAAGTTTATTGTTCATATGTACAGCAAAAAAAAAAATCTTAAGCGAAAAAATGTGAATTAATTGAATTAATATTTATATTATTCTCTTGATTTTTGGATTTGTTATGAAGAGATATTCCTTCAGCTGTACCCACAATAGGTGCCGGTATGGATATTAATCAAGCATTGCAAGAAGTTTTAAAAAAATCTTTGATTGCTGATGGTCTTGTGCATGGAATTCATCAAGCTTGTAAAGCTTTAGATAAGTAAGTTGTCTTTTTTTTCTTCTTATTTTCTATTATAAAAAATTTATTAATTTTATAGACGACAAGCTGTTTTATGCATCTTGGCAGAATCTTTCGATGAGCCTAATTACAAAAAACTGGTTACTGCACTATGCAACGAACATCAAATACCATTAATCCGAGTCGATTCTCATAAAAAACTTGGTGAATGGTCAGGTTTATGCAAAATTGACAAAGAGGGTAAACCACGTAAAGTATGCGGATGCTCAGTTGTTGTTATTAAGGATTTTGGTGAAGAGACGCAAGCCTTAGATGTAGTAAAAGATCATTTGAGGCAAAATAGTTAATTCCATTTCGTTTCATTGTGTCTCAACAAAGTGTTTAACGAAGAAAAAAATACTTTTAAACACAAAGCAAAGGAATTTTATTTAAGAAGCAAGATGTCTGGGTATATATATATACAAAAAATATGGAAACATTCAAAATAAGTGCAGTGCAAATTTGGATTGAAACTTCTTAAATTACAAGACCCTATTATAATCAACAGGTTCTCGAATTTTTATGGAACAAGTCACTCAAAAAATTTAATAATCATTTAAACGAAAGCGTGAAGTTTGGCATATATCGAGTTAGTTTGTTATGCCGTTTTTACCAAAATAGTTCTTGAAATTGGACCAGTCCAAGTTTTTTAAACTTTTACACAATTCCTTTTATGATTCGGCCAATCATCCAATTGACATTTCCTGGAATTATAAAGAAAGCATACAAAGACATTAACTGAACCCCACCGTATACGTTAATCAATTAAAGATTCCGCTTTGGCGCAACAGCTGCGATGATCTAATCTACTTTAATAAGAAGTTAATCGTGAACAAATAACAATATGGGATTATATCAAGATGTATATATACGCCGGATATTTGTGAACTACAATGTTATATACCTGGAGCAGTAATAAATGGATTTGCATTGAGAGCATTTCTTTTCAGCATCAGCTAAACAATTGCCACATTTATGATTTTTAACTCCATCACTTTTGTCTCCGTCATCGTGATCGACGGCAGATTCTTTTTCAGTTTCCTCGACTTTCTGCTCTAATTCGGCCAGTAAATCCGTGTTGTAGGCTGCATTTAAACGTTGAGCGATATCAGAAATTTTCTGTTTATCTTTACACAAAAATATATTTTCTTGTTGCTTAGCAATTTCTATAAATCCACCGGATTTTTCAGTCTCGCCTATAAGCCGTTCCCGAATTTCAGGTACTTCTTCTAAGAACAAATTGTTTCTGGCACTGCCGCCACTGCCACTTGACAATGATAAATTGCATAGCAATTGTTTAAGCTCAATAAGCGGAGGTAATTGATCCAACAGACATTCGTGGAGAAGGCATTGACACTAAAAATTGATAGATAAAGAACGCCGAAGAAATTCATTTAATATATATGTAGAAAATCTATTGAATCACTTTACCGCGGCTAGGCGTTTACGTCTTTCTTCGTTGATTTCATAATTCTGCATTAGTTTGTTATTGAATAGTATTTGACGCATGCAAAACCAAGCCTGCGCCTCATGCTTAATAACTTTACTTGCCTCCTCTCCCTTGACAACAATCCATTTATCGTCTAAGAAATTAAAAAAAAATAATTCAATACTGAAAGATTATATTTACGATTTTCTTTAAAGTGTACCAATATATTTCTCTAATCCCTTCTTGGTTCGTCTCTGCCACGGTCGAAAGTTGAGTAAATCAGCCATTAGCCAAGGGACATCATGTGTTACTACCAATCGTCGGCTCGCATTCAATGGCAAAGCATTCACGTTATCAGCTAAATAGTTTAATATTGAAATGCACCGCAAACCAATTTTATAGATGAGATCCCTCTTTTGCCTCTCGAGCTCGGAGAGTATTGATGCATCTACGTCTAAATTGGTTTCATTTTCATGATGCCCCATGCTATAGAAAACACGCAAACCGGCGAACAAGTTGTAAAATTAAAATAATTTAGCATTTGTGCTTGTGTTATGCATTCTGTCCGTTCCTACTAAATTTTTTTCTAGTGTATAGCAACAAATAACCTAATAGAAAGTTGTTTAGACTTTCGAAGCTAAAAACTCCAATGCAAGTTATATATATTATGGAAAATGGAAATCATAAGCAAAAACTAATGGCCGCCTGGTGGCAACATTCCAAATTAATTGAACAATTAGACGTTTGTAATTTTGTGAAATGACTAGCTTACCTTACCAGACCAATCACCTGTGCTACTGCTTGAGCACAATAATCTACCAAATCTAAAGCAGAATCTTGTAAGGCTTGGCAACCACTCTCATGATATAATGCTACGTCCAATAAAGACATTACTGCTCCTTCATGGTACAGAACCGTATATATAACAAAAGTCGCCTCCGGATTGGGATCAATGTCGAGCAAATGGGGTAGCACTCGAGTCTTCCACAAAAAGACGCAAAACGCTTCGTGTATCAATATTTTCAATTTATCCGTAGTAATTAACATTTCTTTAACCTCCTCTTCACGATGCTCCACAGCTTCCAAAGTAGCTTGTTGACTTAATTTTATAATCATTTCATGGACATCGAACCATTTTGGCGAACCAATATCGATTATATGAAACGGACGTATGCTTTCAACAAAATAAGTAAGCTCTTCCGGATAGACAAAATTGACCATATTTCAACGTTTTCGAATTGAAAAGGAAAGGAGATTTTTATTGCCGATTAAAGGGAAATGTTCTTGTTCCTTTTACTTTCTGAACTAAACAAAATATTGCTTGGTTGCTATGATATCACTTGACTTCTTTCTTTCTTCTTTATTGAATAGTTTTTTTTTTTGAATTTTACAGGTAAAGCAAGTAAAAGCATAATCGAGCAAAGTTGACTGTTAGATGTAAGACAACTGCGGCTAATACAATTGTGCTCACTTAAGTCTATGATAAAATAGAAGGAATTTTATCTTGATTCCATCTGAGGGCATATTTTTCTTTTTTATACGCATCACCGAAGGATGAGAGATATCTTCATTTTGTGAAGATGTTTGCAACGCCCAGAAGTAAGCATCATATATATATTCTTGATCAGCATCGAATTCTAAATCAATTTAAGCATGTCCGTCTGTCCGTCTGCGTAGTGTCTTTTGTAAATATTCTCCTGGCCGCAAAAGTGAAGCTATCAACTTCAAATTTGGCGGAAACATTGGAAAATCGTGCAGGCAAATTGCCATTGAAAATGTGCCAAATCGGTGGAAGGACACGACCACTGCACCACGTAAACTGAGAATATCTCCCTTTTGCAAAGGGAATGAAAAATTGGTTTTTTTGCTCATTACTCATTAATTATATTAAATAAATGTGCAAAAATTTGAACGCATATTCTATGGACGATGCTGTAGCGCTTGTCCACAAAAGTGGAAAATGGAAATGACCACGCCTACCCAATATTATGATGTATCAAAATATAATTATTTATTCAATACCTTTATAAGGCGCAGAAAAAAACTTCAAAACCCCATAAAGTACATAAATTCTTGGCAAGTTTCAAATTTATCCATCTGTCTATTTGTGCAACTTTGTAGTATTTGTGGTAAACATAGTCCCGTTAGCGAAAATGAAGATATCGTCTACAAATTTGCAAATGAATTTCTAATTGCCCTGAACTTTTCAAAGGACACGCCTATAACGCCCACATGCCTATGTGACAAAAATTTTTATTTTAAAAATAGAAGAAATGAACTGCGCCCACTCCATATTATAGAGAGTCATGCTCTCAGTCTTTTGTTCTTTTACTCCTTTTGTTTATTTTTTTTTCTTCGGTGATGGGTATAATATGTTCGGTCCCGACTGAACTTTCTTTTCTTTTGTTTTTTTTTTCTTGAATTTCTATATGAGTCAAATTGCCGTTGCCGACAGTTCTAGCGTTAATTGAATAGTTGTTGTTGTTCACGATACAAACTGCAGAAGTTCTGCTAAATCTGTTATGCATTAAGAAAACTGGTAAAGTTGCTCTCAATATGTACGTAAACATCGGCAGTTCATTCATATATTACATCAGTTGCTGGGGGATAATATTTCGCTTTGTTTTCCATTTATTATCTTTATGTCGATAAAGTTATGTCCTATTCCCTCACTTGGTTAGGAATTTAGCATCGTTTTATTTTGGGAAAGCTCCCAACTTTTAGCATAAAATATATTTTAAATATCTGACCGTGAATGGGGAAGGGAAGCTTTAGAGATCCTTGAGCTTTCACCTTGAAATTCTGAACTGATTAAACCACGTCGGTCCGTCTGTGTGGTGTATATTGTTAATACTCTCTTGATCGCAAAAATGAAGACATCGATTTCAAGTTTAGCAGAAACATTTGGTAGTCATTGCACGGAGGCTGGCATTAGAAATCGGTCAAACTGGCCAGAGTGCCAAGCTCGTAGCGACGCCTAAACTGAACGTAAATCCGTTTTTTTTCTATCCAAAAATTCATGAGTTTTTGTTGGCTACAATTTCCCAGTTATTTTACGAACGTAAATGCCTACGTAACTTATATAAGGAGTTACAAGTGATTAAATTCTCCTTCTTTTCACTTTTTTGAGATTTTATGCTTAACCATATATAATATAACCATAAGGTAAACAAGACTGAATGGTTAAAACTATTTTGTATATTTTCGGACTATAAGACGTACTTCAAATTGTGAGATGATTTTTTGAAAAATATATTTTAATATTAGTTTCGGATCATAATTTCTATTTATTGTTAACATAAGTCGTTCAGTTCATCTTCATTCTCTATCATCTTCATTATCGTTCGTCCCGTTAATGTCACCGTTCGTCATAGTTTCATCTGAGGTATTGCTATTACTCCTTTCAAATCTCAAATTTAGAGACGATTTAGTGAAAAAATATTTTAATGCTACCTTCGGACCCCATAAGACGCATCCACAATTTGAGCCCATTTTTCGATATACGAAGTTGCGTCTTATAGTCCGAGAAATACGATATATGCGATCTAAAAATACGTTAATTCTAAAATGAATGTGGCGGACACCATGATTTGATCGATGAATTTTTTTCTTAATAATACCAGCGATATTGTTATCAAATAAAAGGGCTAAAAGTATTGAAATTAAATTAATTATGATAGACGTCACGATGTGATAAATTAATTTTTCTTAACATTAGCTTTTATTCAAGTAAGAGGTAAGGAGAGATAAATAATTTATTCCATTAATTTTTTTATGACAATAAGTAAAAAGCATGTAACGCCAAACATTTTAAGGGTGACGGGTATGCGAAACTCGTCCGTAGCCGAATATATCTTTCTTATTTGTGTTATTGCTATGTTGGCATAAATTATTATTGCACATTTCTCTCTTAAATCCGCGAAGAGAGAATATTCACATTTTATTTGATGGCGTTAGCTCTGTCTACATCGGTATTTTTTTTAGTGGAGAAGATTTTTTTTTTCTTTTGTATCCCTTCTCTTTTTTTCTATAACTACTATATTCATAAAAAGAACGAAATCTCTTAATACTTATTGCTACCTTATCGGCGATATTTGATTAGATTATATTAATGATGGCTCACACATTGACTCAACTAAATTTGAAATTTATTCTCTCTGGACAAGTTTTTGGTATTGTCATCATGGATGGACAAAAACACTTCGGTCGGCTACGTCGCAGAAATTGGTTAGGATTATGTATACTTTGATAGATTTAATTTAACTTTGTAGAGGCTATAAAAGCGAAAAATAAAAATAAGTACAAAAAGTTCCTACTCTTATGATTGCTGGCTATATAAACTTTTTAAGATTTTCCTTAACTGGTTAGTCAATTTTTTAGAAAAATCATTATATACTGTAAGACGTACATGCGAGGCATAGTTGCTTCCCAAGGTTTCGTATTGCTCTTGTAATATGAGCTCCTCATACTCCATATGAACGTTAAAGAATCGGCTTAGACAACGGAAGAAAAAATGCGCAAAGTGAAAGACCTGAAGGCAAAATAAAACTTTTTTCGGAATTGGAATGAATGAATGAGAAAATTTAGCGAAATTTGACATATACTTATATATAATTGTCTATTTGGATCATAGTATAAGGCTTTTCCACGCTTATTCTGTCAGATAATTTGTTTCTGCAAAGCCATATACATAATAATGCATAGGTATTTTATATGTTATTCAACGAATTTGATGATTTTTACAAACACACATAAACACATATAATACATTAATATTTATTTTATTTAACCATGCATACGTATACACGGTTTCGTTCTACTTGCAATAAATTTGCTTTTAAAAATAAGAATATAGAAAATAATATATTGTAATCTGCTCTAAATTATACAAAACGAAATGATAATGCTAGAAAGAGAAAGCTTTAGTTTTATGAAACAACTAACGAATGGCGGATAAAGTTTAATTTGAACAGGGAGAAGTAGAAGGGAGCTGCGGAGGAGAAGGTATTGTGGTGGGCGCCACGATAGGACCTACGGAATTTTTTTGTGATTGCTGTTGTTGTTCATAATGCTGAAATATTTGCGGCGACATTGATGTGGTTTGAGTAGGATACAATCCTCCCATCGATGGTTGCACTTGGGGATAAGTGGGTATCGTTTGAGCTGTTGGGTAGGACAGCGCTGCCGGCGAAGACATATATTGCTGCAGACCTGGAGAGAACATTGGAATTGGTGACGACACTTCAGCTCCAATATTTGTTAGAGGCGAAGACATTCTTTGAACGTTGCTTGCAAAATCTGTGTCAGTTTTATTAGCTACTAAAGGGTCTATTACACCAGGTATATAAATATTAGTGGGAGGGGCGATGCTAGTTGTGATTGGTGCGGTATAAACATTGTTAGTTTTTACTGCAGACTGCGTTGTCGACACTAGATTTGCATCTGTCGTTGACTGAACTTCAGGTGTAGTATCATATGGATAGTCTGCTGTTTCATAGTTTGATGGCGTCGGCTCCAGTTCGGGCGCATTATCGCCTTGACTAAAATAAGCTTTGAAAACACTTTCTGTAGCGTTAGTCGCAGCTGCGACGTTAACCTTAGGCGAAGTTCCAGTTGAAACGTTTGCTAAGGCTTCAATAGTTTTGTTCGCAGTACTTGGAGTGAAAGTATTACTCAATGGAGGCACATAAGGTAAGGTCGGCGCTATTACGGACGCAGCTGCCGCATTTGTAGTTACCGATGTTGATTCTGGCTTTGCCGCAGTAATATTAATTGGGGAAATTGTGGTGGATGACTTAGCAAGAGTCACATTACCTGCTTGAACTGGAATGCGATGTAAATACCCGTAACCAATGCCACAACCCAATGCCCCCTCCCCACCCCACTGTGAATTGGGTGTAATTGTTACTTCACGACATGCATCATCATCTATATTGTACAAATAGATTTTTAAAAGTTGCTGCTCGTGAGTCTCAATCAAAGTAAACAAGTCATCATTTTCATGGCGTATAGCATCAGCACCAATCACGTAATCAGAGTAAGCTCTGAGACCAGCTTCTTCAGCTGGGGAATTTGGATGAACCTCTAGGATATGCCAAACATTCTCGTTAGCTCCTTCAAATGAACAAAAGCGTATGCTAACCCCCAAGAGACCTTGACCTCCCCAACCGCTACTGGGAGTTAAGATAACTTCTCGAACTGTCTGAGTTTTACTGGAATAGACAGTAACTCGCACTGGTTTATCCACATGTTGTTTAAGTAATTCTTTCAGCATATCGTTATCTTGATCCAACCTGGTACCAGCAATAGCTACTATAAAATCGAAAAATGCTTCTAAGCCTGCCTTTTGGCCAGGGGAATTGTCTTGAACCTGTGAATTATTTATATTACATAGAAAAGTCTTAATCTTTACACTGTTTTATACCCTTAAGACGTGGTAGCCTTCAGTTCCACCGCCGGGTATTTCGATACTATGACTGGAACCCATTTTTTTCTGATTACGATATTAAAATGTGAATAATTCTTTTAAATAAACTTCGTGCTGAATGTTATAAATAGTTACACCAGCCCGTTCTTATTTTCTGAAATAATGATTTTAGATATTTTTTTAATCCTTAGGAAAAAACTCTTAAGAATTGCGTGGCACTAAATAATAAGCAGTGATATCAATGCTCTGATATTGAATCATGAAAGAAGAAAAAAATCATTGAACGTTTTTGGTTGACAAAACAGATATGTTAACAATAATATTTACTGTTCTTTGAGACATAATCGTTGAAAATTTTGAAATAGTAAACAAACATATAGAATATCTTTAGTAACTCGTTTCATTAATTATTTTATTCTCCAGATCTATAGAATATGCCAAATATTCTTGTTGTGTACTTTAAACAATCAAAAAAAATTCTTTACGTTTGCTCTGTCTTACGTTGTAAAGGCGTTGAAGGTTTTGAATGTGTTTTAACCATCGCCTGGCATATTAATACTGTTCTGGACAGCACATTTTTTTTGAATATTATTTTAAAATATCAATAATTCTACGTGGGGGCCGTTATACACAGTTAGACAAGTCTTTTTTTATATTCTCAAATAATTGCTGTAGCCATTTACATAATTCTTGAGCAAAAATACAAAGCAGTTATATATATACTTTGATATAAAATAAAAGTATATGGATGTATATACATATTTTTTGATAAAAAAAGACATATTAACATTAATGTCTGTTGTGCTTTGAAATATCGTCGTTAAATCCTTATTAAATGAAACTGAATTGGTTATGTCAGAGAATCAAATAACAAAAGTGCTTACGAAATTCTCCAAAATTAAAGATAATACATATTTTAGGGATTTTTAGTACTTCTGTTATTATCAACGTAGCAGCGCTGATAATTAGCGGCTTTTTTACTGCTGATTTCTCCATTTGCATTCTAGGCAAAAATTCTATTAGGGTGCGTTGATGTGTATTAAATATTAAAAAAGCAAAGGCCTATACAATTCTGTGCCTGCAAGTAAATATTTGCTATGGTATAAAAATAACAAACGTGAGCAAAAGTAATTTGTTTTAATTTCATCGTTTATATCAACCCATATTGGAAATTTAAAAAATTTTATATTCGTCATATGCTTTAATAAATTTTAGAGCAGATTTTCTACAAAAATATGAAAAATTTTTTCATAATTAAAAGGTTCGCATGTATTTAACATATTTATCACATTTTATGCAATTGTCCATATCCCACTTGAGTTGTTGTACAACGTGCGTTTCGTACATATATATGCCACGCGCATGGACCTTTAATGTTAAAAAATTTTCCAAGTGCTTTTGTTATTTAATAGTTTATAATTGTATGTATTATTACTAATTTTCCAAAAACGGCTACAGTAAGCGCATATAAGCTTTGTCCTATTATTTACGTGTTTACCTGTTTTGCGGCGGAAATAATGCATTGATGAGAATTTTTTATTTTTGTTTTTTATATATCATATTGATAACTGATTAATAATTGATTAGAATTGTTGTATTTAAAAATGCAACTATTCAATGTTAATGCACAATGCAAACATGGTGCTCAAAAAATTTTATACAATTAAATTTCTAAAAGTGCGAGAAGCAATCCTTCTCGAGGCAGAACTTATATCCGACTGAGTATTTGATCAATTCGCATAATTTGGAAAATGTGGATTCACTTATTGGTTTAAGGGTGCTGGGCTCTATTAATAAACTTAGTTCAATACTTGGCTTTAATAAACGGTAGTCCCGAGAGTTTGACGACCAACATGTCACGTGGCGCTTCATCGCACAAGAATAGATTTTGCACTCCAATGAGTCGTGCTGAATTATGTACATTGTAAAAATGAAATGTTTAGGATAAAAATTTTTGAAAATGTTTCTTCTTGTAATGTAAACATTTATTATGTCCGGAAGGCATTTTTTCGATATTTTTATGTTGTCCCTTTCCATCGCATAAAATATATTTTGTTTACTGTTGCGAAAAATTATTTGTACCTGAATGTGAAATTTTTGGATATCTTTTTGCGATTCTTATCTGCTATCAACTGAAGAAATCCTCAAAAGGTAACAAACAATTTTTTAAAACATATTCAATTATTAGTTATTGAGGTTATGTGGTTAGACAAGGTTCTTTATAGATTTTTAATTAAATGATTCTATAAATGGATTGAACATTTCCTTCTATTACTTTACATTATTTCATGGCTGCCACAACTTGATATTGTTGTTGTAGTTTTTGTACTGCTTCCCGATGTTTAACCATATCTTTTTCTAAACCTTCTAGCGTTTCGTTGAATCTTTTAAGTTCCTTCGAGATGTATTCAATTCGTTTGCCCACGTTTTGACGCGACTCTTCTAAATCTTGTTTCACCAATGCCGGCCCATAAAGTTTATAAACCTTATTTTCTGGACCCAGCAGTTTTAATTCTTCGAAGACGATTTTGTTTTCATTCAACTGTCCTTCTAGAATGGTGCGCTGTTTCATTAGTTTGCCAAATGCTGCAGGTTTAAGAAGAAATAGGACAATAATAAAATAGATGTTGTAAAAAAAAATTTACAAGAGTCCTTACATTTCTGTAAGTTTTGATAGGCTTCTAATTCCGATTGTAGCTTTTTCACTAAAGTTGCACTATTTTTCTCCATTTTTTTGAATAGTTAAACTAAATTTATTTAATGTTCTCTCATATGCAGCCAAACAAAGGAACAAATTTTTTTAGACTACATACAAGGTTGTTAACATGTGTAGTATTTTGTGAAATGCAAGCCATACATAAGTATAACAGAGTGTATTGTTTCGATTAATAAGACAATCAGATGATGTTCGCAGTGACTTCAATAAATTTGATTTTAACACAGAAAACAAATTTTACATGAAAATTAGAACGTTTTTTTTTAACGTTGCTTCAGAATTAATATTTGATTAAAAATGTAACAAGAAACGAAGTTCCTGCAATGTTCTATTGTTTCGTTAAATAAATATCAACCCAAAAAGCTTCAACTCTTTTTTATATAAATTTTTACTTGTTATATATTAGTTTGGGGAAAAAGAAATCCATTATTTTTATATGAACTTCAGGACTTTATTTAACATGCTTCGGATTGTCCGATTTGGGTCAAATATGCACCGTTTTGTTGTACGATTTGTTGCCACTTTAAAGGTAACTTCAAAATACCTCTCTCATAGAAGTCCTGGTCTCTATTTGCAAAAAACTCTAGTAGTCGATTTTCACTATCCTCCCTAGATTCCAATTTTTTATCATTAAAGAAATTTTGCAATGCAAGAAAAAGATGATAATCGCTTGGTGCCAAGTCCGGACTGTATGGCGGATGCATTAAAACTTCCCAACCAAGCTCCCGAAGTTTCTGGCGAGTCACTGTAGATGTGTGTGGCTTAGCGTTGTCCTGGTGGAACACGACACCTCTCCTGTTGCCCAATTCTGGCCGTTTCTGGCCAATCGCTATCTTCAAACGGTCCAGTTGTTCACAGTAGAGATCACAATTTAGCGTTTGGCCATATGGAATCAACTCATAATAAATAATCCCCTTCCAGTCCCACCAAATGCATAGCAAAACCTTCCTGGCCGTTTGAGCTGCTTCATCGCTCTTTGAACACGATCGCTTTCGCACAGGGTTATCGTATGTGATCCATTTCTCATCTCCAGTCACCATCCGTTTAAGAAATGGGTCTATCTCATTCTGTTTGGCCAAGGCTTCGCAGATGGAAATTCGATCCATCATGTTTTTTTCTGTTAATTGGTGTGGCACCCAAACACCGAGCGTCTTTTTGAATCCAGCTTTGTGTAAATGGTTTAAAACTGTTTTATGGTCGATTTTTAGCTCCTGGGCGATGTTACGACTGCTAACATGCCGGTCAACTTCGATCATTTCTCCGATTTTATCGACATTTTCGACGACCGGCCTACCTGTGCGAGGTGCATCTTTAACATCAAAAATTCCTGAACGGAATCTACGAAACCAAAATTGCACATAATTGGCTGTTACAGTATCGGAACCATAAACACCATTCACAATTTTAGCCGCCTGGCTTGCATTTTCGCCTTTGTCAAAGAAAAACTGTAAAATGTACCGAATTTTCTCTTTGTTCACTTCCATTTTTAACACGCTGTAACTCACAACTGAATGCACCAAACAAAAAACAGCAAAAGATTTTTTTTTACTACGAAATGTCACCTTTCCAACAAGCATAAATCTGAAATTGTTTGATCGATATTTTACGAGAAATGTATCAGTGCAGCCATCTACCGAAAAAATAATGGATTTCTTTTTCCCCTCCTTTTTTTTATCAGCTGCGCTAATATTCCCACAAATTAAGCAAATGGGCTGCCACAATGAAGCGCCATTTTTGGTTTCGGATTAAAATTTCTCAAGTTGCGACGCAATGTGCTACCATAATGTTTTACAGGAAAATGTAACAAAAACCTATCGCTTCATATCATATTTGTGTAATTATAAAGAATACATATATTAAATATAGTTTTGTGTATTAATTCGGAAATTACCATTTATCATTGTCCAATAAAGCAATTCAATACATATATATTACAACTTTAAAATGAATGGTCTCTATTACTTGTTTTTCATTCATACAAAATAATGAATGCTATAAATGCAAATCAATATCAAAACAAATGTAGATAAGTGTAAGGTAAACATAAATTAGATAAATGACTTTAAAGTGAGAAAGAAACGATCATTATTCTTTCTTCTTTGCTTTTTTCCGTCTGCTTATAAATTTATGGGAATTGACATTTAGAATATCGAATGTACATTTTTTTTTTTTTGTTATGTCTTCTTAGTTTGGATAGGTTTGGCTCATGGCGCATGGTTTTTTGGGAGGTGCGTTTCCAGGATATTTATCAATAAATAAAAGACTTGGAGCTTCGTGTTTTTGTTATATAATTATTTGTTTATTATTATTTTCCGGAATTATCGATAAACAATTACGGTTGTAAATTTATATGGAAAGGACAGTAAACCAACACAGCGATGTGGTGACTCGTAAACCTATTATTATTATTAACAATTTACTTCTGTCGGATTTTGCCTTATGATGCCAAGTATTTCCGCGTTCCGCGCATACTACGGTTTTGCAAGAGCATACGACAAGCAAACTTATGGGTCAACAGGGTCAGTTATTAGTCTTTAATGTTTCCTCAGCCAATTTTCTTATGCCTAACAAAGAGTCATTCGTGGACAATGGCTAAGAGAACCCCTAAATCTAATAATGCTTCAGTTGTTCATGGACAGCTGTTAAGCGAAGCTATCCCCTATTTACACAACCGAAACAAAAAAAACAATTAACAACTCCCCGCTTCGATTGCCGTAGCACAACTGGACGATCGAGTGTGTTGTACAACGCGCTTTTGTAGCTGCCATCGCTGTCGGTCTATAGTTACAACATGTTTTAAAGCTATACTCGTGTCTGCTACAAGCTGGTACGTCTATTATCTTATATATGTATTATAATATGCGTACTGACTAATATAAGAATATGCTTATTGATTGCTTATTTATTGCTGCAATTTAGTTTGTCCATAATTTTAGTGAGGTCAATGAGTGCATACATTTACTGAGAGCTCAGTTCATGTTATACATATGCAAGCTGTGAATGTCTATAGGTAAGGCAAACCGGTTTTAACAATCCCAGAGTATAAGTACGAACATGAATGTGTGGGCAATACGCGATTTTTTCTAGAAATGTACTTATATAAATTGGTGTAAGCATAAGAATTATTCAACGTATATTTTTCTGCTTAAATGTGTAAGCATTAACGAGAGCAAGTGCATGTTTAAACACGTTGCCAGGTATAAGAAAATGATCATATATAATTTAGCAATCCGCATGCTTCGGATAAGTAAAAAAAACCATGTCAATTTATAACAGTTCAGCGGTAAATGACAAAAATAATTTAACATGTTGCTTTAACGTACAGACATAAATGCTAATAATTCAATGTGTTTATAAAATATCTGAGAGCATACACATTGATATTTCAACAAAACGTATATACACATAATGTTTTTCTCAATAGCATGCATGTTGCTATGAGATTGGGTGCATGTTCATAAATATGTTTACAATGCGTAAAAGCAAAAGAAAAAAAATTGGTAAAAGTACCATTTTTTTTAAATATCGAGTTAAATGACATAACTTCTTTTCATGCTCGTTCATTGAAGAGGAGAACAATGGCAACCGCGACGCATAAGAAAGTATCACCGTGAGACACGTGAGAAAAGCTTTGCGGGATTCGTCCGATCCCCTAACGCTTTCTCAAAATGAGTAAATTATTGTTTGCAAACGACGTATAAATATATGTTATATCGTTGTATGTAGATTTATGCAAAAGTTTCGCGTTTCCAACGTTTTTCAAAAAATTGGTATGAGTGGTGGTAAGACGAATACATATATACTGGTGGTGTTGCACTTAGCCACGACTTTAGAGTTGCTTGCTTCAGGACGCACGTTTCTCGCGTTGTATCTGAGGTGTCACAAGAGTTGGAAACAAACGTGGACACGAAGATTATGTTTTACCAAAAATTGAGTATTTCAGGCGGTAAATAGTTGAACATTTTGTTTTTCAGTAAACGATCATTATAATATTTATGCTATTTATTACAGCAATTGGATGTGTCCATGGAATGAGCATATTCTTTTCAGATCAAAAAAAAATTAAACAATTTTCTTTAATCGAAAAGGAAAATACAGCGTAATCGGGATAGTAGTAAATGATTTGAATATTTGTTTATTATTGTATTACCAATTTCTTTTTATTTACATAAATACAAGCATTTCTTTCTAGATTTGCGACCATGCAATGAAAATCATATCAGTTAATTTCAAATTTCGCGGGTTTTCCCATGATTTCAATGAATATTTATAAAATGTTTTTGTTTCAGCATAGCAACACGTTACCTTTGTAGTTATAAAACGGACCCAAAATTAGGAGGCCACATAATATTAATGTGCTTTGCGCCTATGCAGGATGGAAGATTTCAAATATTTTCAGAATTATCAGCGACACCTTCCCACTCTAACTAGTTCGCCGAAGACAAGTAAACCGAAGGTACAACATTTCATAAGAACCGTGCAGTGTCTTAAATAATGTATTGCACTGTAGAAGGCTTCCGTTTTAAAAGTAATGATAAGCATCTGACATTTACTCCATGAACCAAATGCCTGCAAACAACGCAAGGTAAACGTTGTATTAAACTAAAGTTATAATATATGAGAAACTTATAGCAATGTTAAGAAGAATGTGCACTTGGCAGGCGTAGATGCTGTATGCGATAATTTCGCTAACATTTTCTCCATGAACTTTAAAAGAACGTCAGATATTTCAAGATTCCTTCGAACATTCACCTTAAACTGGGTCCCGCTTGTCTCCTTAACTTCTTACGAAAATAGATTGCTCTTGCTAGCCTTGCCGTCACTTGCAAAATGCAGATTCATCTTCGCTGTTTTCTTCTTAATTAAGTTAATAAACGATTCTATCGATTCGTCGACATTATTTGGAGAGATAAACTCCAATGTCCTGAACCGTTTCTCTATGAACTTTAAGGACTTGAAGCTTACTCAACATCAATAGCGAGCTTTTCAATCTTTTTAGAGTCCTTTGCAAAAGTCTAAATGATACCTACAATTTACAGTCTGATTTATTGAAAACTATCAAATCAAGTTTCCTAAATACGCGCGCTTTGCGTATGTCGCATCTAGATTAGCTTCCATTCTTGATATCTTCATAGTATTCGAAAATTGCACTACATTTTTTCACTATAATAGTTTGCCAAACTTTTGCCAATGGCTTAGGGGTTCACCATTAACAAGAATTTATGTCAGTTATGGGTGTTTCTCTGTGCTAGATGTGCATATAAGTTTTTTTTCTTTTTGTATTAATTTACACATAAGTTTTGTTCTTTTTATTTTCTTATTTTTTCTTTATGTTTCTTTAAATAATTTTTACGCGTTGGCATAAGATTTTTTTCTAAGAGCCAATTAAATTCGTCTGTTAATTTATTAGCTGAATTCCATGTGTAAAAAAAATTAAACGAAAAAAAATTTTGTTCGACGTCAATATAATAAATATGGTTGAAGACGGTCACAAATAACCTATCGCTGACTTTTACTTTCAAAAGACGTTTCTTAAAGAAACTTCATTAATTTTGCACGTTCACGTAGACAAACGCCAATCGCATGAGCAACGCACGAAAACATTGTGCTTAGCATTTTTCTATTTGTTTTATTTGGTTATGCACATACAAAACGATATGGGGATGCCACAATTAAGCTTGGCTTATATTATAGAGTTGGGGGAGGCATTTAAATTATAAATATTTCTTAAAATTGGAAATAAATTTTGTTTATAAATGTTTGTATGTATAATTCACATATACATAGTCTGATATCACAAGTATTTGGTTGTCATGACTGATAGGGATGTCGCTTTCGATAAACATGTTGACTACGTATCTGGAAGAATTTGAAGTACCGCCAGGGAGATCAATTCGACAAATATGTATTTACCTCTGCATATCAGGTGGAAATTAGCGTATTATCTTCTTATGCCACATATTATATATTATCTGGGGATTGTTTCTTTCGCTCCTGCAGCTATCTTTAAAATGTTTCCACTGATGAATAATGTTGTTATGAGGTTCGTATATAATGTTAAAAGGAGGGTTCACATCTCGTATGTCCTAAAGTTTCTTCGCTCTTCTTTCAATGGTAACATGAATTATCGCAGTTTGATTATGTTCCACAGTTCGATAGAGAGTGGTGCTCACTTGATGAACTTTATACGGTGTGCGTTAAATGTTTCTGGCCTTTGGGGCTTGTACTGTACGTTAAGAAATAAATAAAAATAAAAGTTTCGCGTATATTTCGACGTATTGGGGACACATTCGATTTCATATAAATCATGTGTATAATATCATGTACATAATATGTACATAATATATATGTAAATTTTTATAAATTACATTTATCTCTCACATTATGAAAAACTTGTAATTTAAATACTCCGTTAGCCCTGGAAATATAAGCAAAGCTCCATATATTACTTGCAAATTTTCATACACATTCGTAAAAACTTGAACAATTTTTCGGGATGCGCGGCTTCGTTGCGTTTGCTCACATTGCTTTCATTCCCATACCCAAAAGAAAAACGAAGCTTTATTGTGTCCTTCCCCACACTGACATTACTCCGTAAGTTTTTTACGACAAACGCTTTAATGGCAACACGTCGATCATTGACAGGAAAAAACGCAAAGTAATTATTGAAGAGGAAAAAGCCGAAAGTTCTGCGAGAAAATTTAATATTTTTTTAAGCACATAAGGTAATTTTAAAGAGTTTCATAAGTAGAAAAAGTCAATGATTAATATGATTTCCAGACAACATTATAAACGCAATGCCTAGTGGAAGTACAAAAATGGTAAAGAAACTCACACCCTCTGAGGATGAGAAAAAAGAACAGGCACAGTCTGATTTAAAAAAAGAGCCCGTAAAAGAAGATAAGGAACAAGAGCTTTCTGATGAAGATCAACAATTGCAAGAAGAATTGGATTTGTTGGTGCAAGTTTTGCAGGAATCGGATGTTACCTTGTATATGTCCTCTTTGGAAATGATGGCAAAACTAATCAGAGCTTCGACAACATCAATGACGTCAGTGCCAAAACCTTTAAAGTTCATGCGTCCCCATTATGAAACAATGAAGACTTTGTATAAAAGAATGCCAGATGAGAAGACACGCCACATGTGTGCTGACATTATATCCGTTTTGTCTATGACCATGGGCAGTGGCAAAGATTGCTTGGCTTATCGTTTCTTGTGCGATAGATCACTAAAAATCGGTGACTGGGGTCATGAATACGTTCGACATTTGTCTGGAGAAATAGCCTCTCATTATTTGGAAACTTCGGGTGAGTTTCAGACCCAACTCATAGAACTTGTAAAGCAAATTATACCCTACAATATGGAACACAACGCTGAGGCCGACGCCTGCGATTTATTAATAGAAATCGATCATTTGCATTTATTGCAAGATTACGTAGATGAATCTGCCTATCCAAGGGTTTGCTTATATTTGCAGTCATGTTATCCATATGTTCCAGAGCCGGATAATACAATAATTTTAGAGACGGCTTTGCAGTTGTCGATTAAATTTAGTCAATACACACAAGCTATGCGCTTGGCTTTAATGCTTAATAATGTGGATAAAATTACTGAAATATTTAAAGAGCCTAAAGATGCAGCTGTTCAAAAACAGTTGGCTTTTATGTTGGCACGACAGCAAATATGTTTGGAATTGGATGAATCCTTTCCAGATTATGACGATCTCGTTGAAATCATGTCAAATGCTAACTTAAATAAACATTTTCTAAATTTGGGACGCGAGTTAGATATAATGGAACCTAAGACTCCTGAAGATATCTACAAATCCCATTTGGATAACGCCCGAACACGTTTTGCGTCCATACAGGTAAGTTAAAAACTAAAAAAGTGCTACGGTATGGTTTTGACCATCAAACTAAAAGGAAAAAAGAAAACAACACAAACAACCAATTAAATATACATATATATATTTATGTTTACACGCATGTACTTTAAAACGGATTTTTGTACAATTTGGTAATTCCTGAAAAATTTCATAGTATTTTTACGGTATTTAACTACGCTCCCTTATACTCCTTGAAATTGACATAGAAGATTTGTCGAAAGTTTTTAAGGTATGCCAAGTTTTTTTTGGAGAGTGCATATGTATGCAAATTTTTACAGACACTTATTTAATTGAAAGAAGGCACTTACCTGTTGGCCGAGATTCATTTATGTAACGATTAGTTTAGGGGCTACAGTATAGCCGCGATTATTGAGTCAGCGTACCCGGGATCATTCCTCTGTACGGTAAACCGTATTATACTTAGATTAATCGAGGAGTGCTCGATGTGGTAAACGCGTAAACAGTTACCGATCGGGTTCACACCTCCCATTGTGCGGCCGCTCTCCTTATCTCTCTCTATGTCTGTCTCTATCTTTTTGCGCACGAGGTGAGGTAGAAGGCATATTTAGAGTGGCGGTCACACAGAAGAAGAGAAAATGTATGGTTGAAATAATACTATTTCCTATATCCTACACACGGGCTTATTTGTTTATAAACTATTGTTTTCTTTTTTATACGCCCAAATTTTCTTTCAGGTTGATTCAGCGAAACAAAATTTGGCCGCAAGTTTTGTTAACGGTTTTGTTAATGCTGGCTTCGGGGTAGATAAATTGCTATCTGAGGATGGAAATAAATGGTTATATAAAAACAAGGAACATGGGATGTTATCAGCTACAGCTTCACTTGGCCTCATTCTGCTCTGGGATGTTGATGGCGGTCTAACTATGATTGATAAGTATTTGTATTCCACTGAGGACTACATCAAGTCGGGTGCTTTGCTTGCTTGTGGCATAGTCAATTGTGGTATACGCAATGAAGTTGATCCTGCGCATGCTTTGCTCTCGGATTACATTGACAATCAAAACACTTCAATGCGTATCGGAGCTATTTTGGGTTTGGGTATTGCTTACGCCGGATCTGATCGATCTATTGTCATCGAAACTCTTAAATCGGTATTCGCGTCTAATGGTAAAACACCACCCAGTGTAGAAATAATGGGCATTACAGCACTGTCCCTGGGTCTGATTGGAGTGGGTACTTGTAACGCAGAAATAACAGAGGTTTTGTTGCAAACCATTATGTTTCTGACGAAAACCGATTTAAAAGATACCTTCACACGATTCCTATTTCTGGGTCTGGGACTACTTTATTTGGGCCGTCAGAAGGCCACCGAAGCAGTTATGCTTACCTTGGAAGTATTAGATGAACCCTATAAATCAATGGCCATCACCATGGTAGACATATGTGCCTACGCCGGTACTGGAAATGTCCTGAAAATTCAACAGCTTTTACATATTTGCTCTGATCACTATGAAACTAGCAATTCCGATAGTGATAGTGATAAAAATAAGAAAGATAAAAACAAGGAGAAGGTAGATACTGACCAATTTTACTTTTTTAAATAGTAAGTGATATATAATTTTTACAGCAAGATAAGGGTGAAAAGGAAAAGGAGAAAGAAAAGGATCTATCCTCTACGCAGGCTATTGCCGTTCTGGGCATTGCTTTGATAGTCATGGGCGAAGATATTGGTGCAGAGATGGCCTTCCGTTCATTTGGTAATCTACTGCGTTATTGCGAACCATGTATACGTCGAGCTGTGCCCTTGGCTTTAGGTTTGATCTCAGCTTCAAATCCTAAATTAAATATCCTGGATGCATTGAGTAAATTCTCTCATGATAGCGATGCCGAAGTAGCTCACAATGCCATCTTCGCCATGGGACTGGTCGGTGCTGGGACCAATAACGCACGATTAGCTGCTATGTTGCGTCAATTAGCGCAATACCATTCGAAAGATCCAAGCAATTTGTTTATGGTGCGCATTGCTCAGAGCTTGACTCATTTAGGTAAAGGCACTCTAACGTTAAGCCCCTATCATAGTGATAGGCAACTTATGAATCCTATGGCTGTTGCTGGCTTATTGGCAACTTTAGTTTCCTTATTAGATGTCAAGAATTTGATTTTGGGTCGCTCTCACTATTTGCTCTATTGCCTAGTGCCTGCCATGCAGGCTCGCATGCTAATCACTTTCGATGAAGAGCTCAATCAACTACAGGTGCCAGTACGCGTTGGTATGGCCATAGATGTTGTAGGTCAGGCTGGTAAGCCGAAAACGATAACTGGATTCCAAACACATACTACGCCTGTGTTATTGGCGATGGGTGAACGAGCCGAATTGGCCACCGACGAATATATCTCATTGACTCCTGTTATGGAAGGTTTTGTCATATTAAAGAAAAATCCAAATTATGTAAAGTGAATACGAAAAAGAAATCCATGCAAGAGAAATTTTCACCGTTAAGTTTATAACAGATTAACAAATAAGTGCTTGTGTTCTATATCTGTCGATGCAAAAAAAAAAAAAAGAAAAAAACCTTACATATAAAGTACTAAAAAGAATTACGCGTTATTTTAATGAATTTATTGCTTTGCTGAGTGTATTTAAAAATTCTCGGTAGTTTCTCTGTAATTATAAGTATGGGTATCATTACTTGATAAATAGGTTTAATTATCTGGCGAATAAGATGGATTAGATGTTTACTATAAGTGTTATGGTCGGTATACCTGCCTTTGTGCAGAGAGGCTGCAATGCATGAAACTAAATTAAATCACGTTAACACGTAACGTTTTAGGTATGTCGGTGTGTCCGCCTATGGCAGTCTGAATTACAACCATCAAATTTTGTCTGAAATGAATTATTTTACCTTACATGCACGTCTTTACTCTTTCCGTTAACCGAATTTCATTGGTTAATATACTTGGAATATATTTAGAAAAAATTTCTTTGTAATAGATTTTCATACCATCATCGAAGGATGAGGAATATATTTATTTTGTCAAAACGCGTGTGACTACCAAAAGTGAGCTTTAAATGCCTATTAAAATATATACCTTCTTGACCAGTAACTAATTTGACAAGCACCTAAGCGCGCTCGTTTGTCCATCTATCGGTCTACCCAACTGTTTCTTATCTGAGGTAAACTGTGTTCTGTTCATAAAACTGAAGATGTCGTCTTCCAACCTGAGAAAGAATTTGAAAATGGCCCAAACTGGTCAAAAGACACCTCTACAGTGCAACAAAAACTGAAAACACTTTTCTAGCCGTATTTCCTTGCTGGACACTCACAAAAAAATACAAGGTATATATTTCCAATTTTTTTCGACAAAAGTAAAAAAAAAAAATGATATCCGCCATATCCGTCCCATGTTATAGAGTATGAAAATTAATTTTTTTGTTTGCAAAAAACTTATATGGGATTTTCCTTAAGGTTTGAGCAACATTAACAACTATGTACAGATTCAAAGTTCAACTCCGTCCGGCGATGGATTTTCCAAAAAAAAAAAAAAAAAAACGCACCGCAATTGTTCAAAAAAGAAAAAAAACGGGATTTCTCCCGGTATTTGAAAATATCTTTCAATATTACAGCCCTTTGGTCCATCATCTTAACTCAACATCCAAGCAGAGAAAAAAATATTACAGCTTTTAGAAGATCGCGTAAGAATGCCTTTTAGATGGAGAAAAGTAGAAAAGGCTCCGGGAGTCGTAACGAACAAAATGGAAATATCAAATTCTATAAAAAAAAAGACTCGTTAATAGCGAATAAGAAACAAAAGCTTTTGGATGCCACATTTTATATGTCCCCTCTTTGGAAATGATGGCGAAGGTGATTAGGGCCTCGATCACGTCGATGACGTCAGTATCGAAACCATTGACATTCAGGTCCTCATCATGAAACCATAGAAATTTTATGTTAACGAATGGCAGAAAAAAAGGACACGCCATAGGTGCGCATATTACATCGGTCTTGTCAATGACCATGAGCAGTGGCGACAATTCATTGAAAATCGGTGATTGGGGTCATGAGCATTTGTATCGTTTGTCTGGGAAACATCCACGGAATCGAAAGTTCAACTCGTAGAGCTTGTTAAACAAATTATACTTTACGGTATGGAATATAATGCCTAAGCCGATGCTTGTGATTTATTGATAGAGATGGATCGTTTGCATTTGTTGCAAAATTCCACAGGTGAATATGCCTATTCAACGTTTTGCTTCAAATTGCAGTCATCTTATCCATATGTAGCCGGATATTTAGAAATTGCTCTGCGATTATGGCTTAAGTTTGGCTTAGCAACAAAATGGGAGATAAAATTATTGAAATATTTAGGAAGCCTAAGGATGGGTGGATTTATTCACCATTCAGACAGAGTTGATGTTTATCCTAGCACAACAACAGCAATTCTTTTTACACATAGAAGTCATTTTCGGATTACAATGACCTCATGGAACTTATATCAAATGCCAAATTAAGTAAACATTTCATAAATGTGGAGCACGGATTGGATATAATTGAACTGAAAATTCCGGGAGATATGCATAAATTCCATTTGGATAACGTTCGCAATCGTTTTGCACCTATGCAGGTAAGTAGTTATATATGCTCAAGATGAGCAAGAAGAAATTCGCGAACATTTTGATTAGCCATATAAATAATCGAAAAATTACTGCTGTCCGTTTCTTCATAATTGCAGCCATTTTTCAAACTGTTGTGATGAGATGAGCTACATTTTTCAAAATCTTTTTTTAGGTTTTTAGGCAAAGAGAATCTGGCCGCTAGCTTTGTTACCGGTTTTGTTAATGATGCCTTTGCTTTAGAAAAACTGCCCTCGAAAGATGACAATAAATGGCTTTATAAAAATGAAGAACATGGTATTTTGTCGACTATAGCTTCTCTTGAATGTTGATTGCGGCTTGACAATGAGGTTATGAATCCTATCGCGGTTGCTGAACTAAATACCACCCTAGTTTCTTTTTTTCATCTGAAGAATTAAATATATTGGGACGCTTTTATTACTTACTATATTGCTTAGTACCGGCTATATAAGCTCGTATGATGAAGAATGTAATCAACTACAACTATTGACATTCTGGGTTTTATTAACGATGAGTGAAAAAGAGCTGAATTGGTTACCAATGAGTACGTCTCATTAATTCAACTTATGGAAGGTTTTATCGTATTAAAGGAAAATCTCCAGTATATAAAGTAAACGCAACAACAATAAATAATGTACTTATTAAAGCTGAAATGGTTGGGGTTAGATATAGATAGGTTCCCGTGAAAATTTTCCGCGTTTCGTTTCTTATTTGTAATCTTCGCTAGATATCTCACGTTTTGCACATTAGAACAGTAGAGTTAATAATTTTGCACTAGTCATTTTCGGGTTCTTTCCTTCGTAATAACGGAAAGCTTTTCGACATAAATGAGTTTCCAATCCATGCGGTACACTATATTAAATTTTAAGATTTAAAAGAAACGATTTTCGCGGTCGCAACGGTTTGTTTCATTGTTCATTTTAATTTTTCAAAAAAATTAGTAAATTGTATGTAAGCATATATTTAGTTTTTTTTTTTTTTTTTTGATCTTTGGTTGTGAATTTACTAACTAGTCAACTACAGCCGATTTCCAAATTTTCATGTCTTCAAAAATTAGCACACACTACATAATTTGACTAAAGCCCTTTCAATATTAGGACTAGATAAAATTATCAATTTTTCAACATAATTAACGATATAAGCTTAATTGAGCATTTAGTTCATGTTCATCGATTTCCTTCATATTTAATTCGGCCTCTTGCTTTTTTAATAATTCGAAAATAGCGGCCAATTGTTCACGTTCAATTCTAAAGGAATAATTCATAATTAATTAATCAAAATTACTAAACCGCATAATTACCTTCTTTCTTCGGCCAATTGATCCGTTGTCAGCTTTGCTTCCATTTCTTTAAGTCTTCGTGACTTGAGTTTACCTACCAAACCGTCAACATTTAAAACCGCAGTTTCCTCATCTTCAGTATCGGCATAAGAATAATTCGTTGGCGTCTCATCTTCAGCTGCTCCAATATTTTTATTTTGTATATGTAGACGCCTTTGTATTTCGTATTTAAGCGCTGTTGAGGCAGCTATTGTGTTATTATCATCCATTAAATTATCCAAATCAGTTGTTTGTTCTTCTTGGCCTAAAACTTCTCTCAATTGTTTTTTCTGAGTTATTTGAGATTGATGCAAAAAATTATTGGTATTTTTGATATTCCTCGTTATCCTTCAAATCAACTTACGCTTTCATTTTTTAGTAAATTACTGCAATAAAATGCTATAATTATTGCCAGAAATGCTGTAACCATACTAATTACATACATGTCGGGGACGCCATCAAATATGGAATCTGTTGTTGAATATTTATACATAATTTTAATGTTGTTGGTCTATTTTGACGACCTTTTTCTCGTTTATATATATTATAATAAAATGTTCTTTAATCCCTTTTTTTCGTAGGAAAAGATGGGGAGACCGATTTGCCAGTTTACAACGAAAATATGTAAATCTTTCTATAGTTAATGCTTTGACAATTCAAAAAAAGAAATTAATTACAGATTTTTATTAAATGCGGAAAATATACGGAGCGCATAGAAATGCACCCAATTGCGGAACAATAGCAAATTTGTTATTTCTATAGTCACTTCTGAATACGTTGTCCTTGTGTATCAAGGCGAGTTAACAAATTTTTTCATTTTATTTGACGGATAGGCCAATGAAGTATTAAATTTTTGTCATAAAAAATAGCAAACTAAGTATAGAAGTCCAGAGAATCAATTGGATTTTGAAACGACTACTGGCATTTGCGAGATTAATTATAAATTTTATTTACTTTACTAAAAGGGTAAAAAGAGTGAATATAGTTTTTGCCGGTATTTTCAAGGTAATTTCTATTCATCAATATTCATCTCAACCATACCAAAAATGCAACTTAAATACACGGTTTAGTTTAGCTTATTAATTATTAACGATAATTATTAGGAATAACATACATATTACTCTAGTCTCTTGCGACGCAGTTACAAATAACAATAATATATGAATGTCGATATGCGGGATAACCATGTTGTACAGTATAAGACCGAGACAAGGATGTAGACGCAATCATAAATAATATATCATAAATTATAAATTATAGAAGATTTTCATGGCCACTTCTACTTTTTAGGCACAACAAAGTGATCAGAAAACATGGATAGAAAACGTATTTATTTTTTTATATTTTAGTTATTACTCTTCCGAAGTAAAGTAGATACGATATTGGGCTGACACAATGAGGCGTTGTTCGTATTTTCGAGTTCAACTTTGCCAAATTTTTACAAAATTTTATTGGAATTGATAAATCATATTGTTTTGCATGTATACATACAATTACCGCAAAAAAGAAAAAAAATGAGCGTTTCTTTTAAATATTAAATTTATTTATTTAATTTGTATAAATCTTACACTAATACACATTTTTTTTATATTATGTGATTTGCAATTTTGATTTATACCATTTCTTTTATAAGAAATGGAGAATAATCGAAAAAGAACATTTATCTAAACGTTGAAATTGTTCTATTAGAAAGTTATAAAGAGTAATTTCCAAATTACAGTTCATTTAATTTACAAAAAAAAGGCTCTCGATTATAACATTAAATTTAAGCACATTATGAAGATTGAAAAAATTATGATTGTTAATTTATGAATTTGTTGTTTACGTTTACGTTAATTTCTTTATATTTGGTTCTAAAACCATATGGTTACGTTTACATTTTCCTGTAAAACAATATGGTAGCGCGGCTGACTTGGGAGTTTTTATCCTCATTGTCTCAGCCCCCATAATATGCTGTGCTTTGTTTTATTTTTTATTATATTTAGTTGTTTGGAAAAGGTGGCAAGCGGGCGCAAATGTTTCGTATTTTCGTAAACATTTTCCGTAAAAACACTACGCCGCCACGTTTTGTTGCAATATTTACGAGGTTTTGTTAAACTTTATAGTATTTTTTTTTTTTTGTTTTAATATTATTCACGAGTCTTCATGCTGTCGTTGGGCGTGTTACTCAATTGAAATAAAGAAATAAAGAAAAGAGTCAAACATAACCTAGAAAGAAAAAAAATCAAAAAATTTAGTAAAAAAGCATCATTATTTCATCATCACGTGAAATGATGAATATCAGCAATGGATTTCTATATAGTAACTGGGTTATGGATCTAAATTTAAGTTAAAAGATCCAATCCATATCAAATACAAACAAAAAAAAAAAAAAAAAAAAAATAATAATATTACTTACTAATTTATAAATTCCAAGAAGTCCAAGGTATCATTTCTGTTTGGTTTGCAGTTTCAAAAGACTGCACTTTACATATGAAAGAGTTCTGTAAATAAATGTTGTTTGTATATTAATATAGATTGCCTTCAATCATGTACATGTACATTTTTGGAATGAATTTGTCTTACGTTTGTGAACTCTTGAACGTATTCTTTTTTGTAGAAATTACCTTTACGGAGATTTAACAAATCAAATATTTTGCACTGTTTGTGCAATGTCCAAGAAACAGTTGAGTGAAGTGAGTGACCCCTTAACATGGTGCCAAATTTTTACTCGCGATATTGCGAATTACAAATTGCTAAACAATAAACGCAGAGACTTTGAGACGGATTAATTTATAATTTAAAAGCAAATTATTGATGAAGTACAGTACATGCTTTACATTAGAGATTCTGTAGGTCAATTATTCATTGCTGTATATAACTGATGGTTGAAGTTTGCTTACTGTAAGACCATGCAGATGTTTAGGGCTTTTCCTCGTGTTTCTCTTTTTTTCGTGTTAAGTTTGTTTGTTTGTTTGAATTTGATAGGGATTGGACCTTTTAAGTTAAATTTAGATCCATAATCCAGAAACTTTATAGAAATCCATTGATGATATTCAAAATTTCACGTGATGATGAAATATTGATGCTTTTTTACTAAGATTTTTTTAAATTTTTTGCTTTCTAGGTTATGTTTGACTCTTTCCTTTATTTCTTTATTTCAATTGAGTAACACGCTGAAGTTGGTTGTGTACACCCCAACGACAGCATGAAGACTCTTTTCGTGTTAAGAAGAAATTTATCATAACAACGAATTAAATGAATTTCTGTTTCAGGACAAAGCCTGGCATAAAATGTGTTCATCCATGAAAAAATTGCATTTATTGCAAAAGGGGCAAATGCTTCGCATAGAAACTAATAATGAGATTTTAGAGGGGAAGTTGAAAAGTATGGACGAGAAACGGTTACGTCTTCAACTAGAAAATGTTCGGGATATAAAGAGAAATTTTACTTATAATACTCCACAAAGACTGTTTTACGATGAAATGATTGACATTCAAATTATAATTAAGAAAGGGTCCGATGACGCTAAAGTTAATAGCGAAAATATCGGAACAGGTAATTCGAGTAAAACTGAAGTTGAAGATAACGCCCACAAATCGATGGAACCTATTAGTAACGACGCGGCTGTTAATTCAGTTCTTGATACCGATCGTGCCGGATTGAAACTATCCCACACACGATTGCGTGATCCGTTACATATTACGCAAGCTGATCAGAAATATCATAAAGCTTTAGTTGATATTAAACATCAATCGATGGTAGGAGTTGTCATTGTACCTCAACTTGCAATTGGAAATCGCAAAGCGTCAATTTTGGTTGTCGCCACTTCAAAAAATGTGTACATTTTTGATATTCCAACTAGAGAGAACGCTTTCTGCGATTTTGCTTCGACTTTGGAATCAGAATGGCCACGTAAAGCTTTGCACAATAGTCACAAGCAATTAGAAAATTTTAAACAGTTTAAATTGGCGGGAGTTTTTGATACTTTTGTTGCCTACTGTTTAACAACAGGTAAAAAGACACCGGAAAGCTTTGAAGAGATAGTACAAGAGACACTAAATGTGCCACTAACGTATTTCGAGTCCGGGGTATGTAAAAAAGTAACTACTATATGCATATATATGCTTATATATATATATATAAATATATATATATATATATAAATATAAATATATATATGTATATATTCTCTGTTTATATAAATGTGTGTAGAAATATATTTTGATCTGGATCTGACTGCTTTTCAGAAATCCCCTCAACCAGTTCAGCATCACTTAACTAAGGAATGGCGCTCCGCAGTTGCTAAAAAAGCTTTAATGCAATTGAAACTTGCTGAGTACCTATTACATGAGCAAATGTTGGCGCAATTCTACCGACAATGCGATGAATATTCGCATACGTTTTCTAATAACGATAACGCAGTTGAAGTACAGCAGTTGTTAGCAACAAAGAGGGCCGGACTTGAGCATATAAAACTGAATGATGATTGGAAAGCTAGTCTTGAGCCAAAATAGCTGTAACTTAAGTTTTATTCGCATTTATTATTTAGAAAAATTATATTCGGTTTGGATCAATTTTTTGTCTATGTTTAGCATTAGCTCGTAAAAAGGAAAGCGTTCGATCGATTTTAGTTGTAATAGAAAAATATTTAGTTTAAAATGAGTAAAATTATCAATTTCTATTTTGTTTGTTAAAAAGATCATTGAATAAAAAGTTCCCACAATGTTAATATATGTAAAATGTGTAGAGTTCTTCGCAAACTTTTCGGCATTATTATCCATAAATGTTAATAAAAGCTATAGAATGCTTGGGCAATGCAACATTCTACATGTTATTTATAATAATAATAAAAATAATTTTATAAGTTAGCCTAAAAGTAGAACGCGATAATTTTTTTTTTTTATTATCAAATTAAACAAAACAGTAGTTAAATTTTCTGCTAATTTACGGAACGAACGTAATACTCTACGCTATTTACAGAGCGAACGTAATACTCTATGCTAATTTGCAAAGCTGTAGGCAAAAGTCCGCCAATTTTATATTTTTTATTACTTGGTAACGGTATGTGTCCAAACTAGAAAACTAGTTACGACAACGGAGCGTTAGCAACGCAAACAAAGAATTGATTGTGTGAGGACTACTTTTTGAAGATTTAACAGACTGAATGGCATTACCATTTAAGGTGTTAGTTGGGCATTTAACCATTTAATAGGGAATTTAGAGAGGACTTTTGTTTAATTTGATAATCAAAAATTATGGCGGTCGACTTTTAGGCTAACTTGTAAAATTAAATAAATTTAGTTCGCGTATTTTCCATCCATCCAACATCTAGAGGAGATAATACAAAAACGCCTGTTTTTCACAAGAGAAAAACGATTTTTAAAGAAAGACTAGTTAGCCAATTTTGACAATTTATCAATATGGCATGAAAAATTGACGGCTTTGCATTTAAAAATCTGTTTTGACGACGGCTTTGTGCTTTTTTGGCCTGTTATTTCACAGAATTTTGTCGGCAAAGTTCGTTATTTGGTCTGTCATTTAACAGCATTGAACCCCTTTTGTCGGTAAAGCTGGGAATTTAACATAACTGATTGGCGTTGCCATTTAAGTTGTTAAGTTGGACTTTTAACCATTTATTTATTAAAAGCGACTCTGTGCTTTGCCTTTCAACAGGGAATTTAGCGACGACTTTGTTTAAAAATTATTACGGTTTAATTCTAAGCTAACTTATAAAATTTTTATTATTATTGTTATTATTATAAATTTTTGCCAAAGAATAAATTTTTTTCTCTTAAAGCGCTAGCAAAAAAAAAAAACCTCTACCGCACTTGAGATTTGAACCCACGACATTGAGTTCATAACTTGTAAAATTAAATAAGTTCGCGTACTTTCCAAAACACTATATATACATCTAGAGGTAATGATAGAAGAGGAGATGATGGAAGAGCAAAAGCGACCAAGCCAAGGAAGAAGAAGAATCGGAAACAATCAGGAAAACATTAAAAAGAATAATAATTTCTTTTATATATATTTTTATATATATTAATAAAGTATTTTAAATGTATAATAAAGCTATTATATAAATAAAGCTATTTATTTTATTTATATTTAAATATAAATTATATAAATTAATATACAGCAATAGGAAAGGCCAGTTTGATTTTCCCAATGACAAATCAAAGCGTTTGAAAAAGTATTTGTTGCTGTAAGCTCCAACTAGAGGATGGATTATTTAAAATTAAATTTTGGATTTAATGACAACAAGTGCTTTTTACGAAATTTTTGGACATTTAAAGTCGAATACCCAGTTTGGTTGGATTCATCATTAAGAGCCATTAGTCTTTTTCTGGTTGCGGTTGTTCTAAACTTGGATTCCATACTTTTATTCAATATCCGAGCTTTTATATCTTTTAATTCAGTTTCATAATCCGTTTCCTGCAAATCATCATGAAATTCTCTTAGAATATTTTGTATGGATATTTTGCTCTCTTCCGATATGGAGATTTTTTTACCATTCGCTGTTTGAAAACCTGCAGAAATAAAAAAAAATATTATAAAAATTAGCATCAAAAAAGTGTGAGGAATATCAATGGCATACCTTGGATTATCTGCTTATTTACTTGGAACTTAGATATATTGAGAAAGTTATTGATCTTCTCGTTTTGATCTAAGATTATGGAGGCAAATATGTCATTGTCATCGTCATCCCAATTTTCACTTATGGTTGGTTGTGTACACAGAAAAAGTCCTTATTAAAAAGTTTGTAAAAAAGTTGCCCATAAAAAGTACAAACGTCTGTCTATTTCGTTACTCGTAATACTTTTTTAAAATGTATTCCTTTTCTCGGAAGCAAAAGAAGTGAAAAGTAAGAAGTAAGCAAGATCAGAAACAAAAACCTTTTTTGGGAGGCGCTTATGTGAAAAGCTCGCATAACAAAATTTATTTGCTTCCAAGCGTAACCGTTTCATCTCAAAAGTCTCGTTTACCTTAGCTAAACCACAACAAATTTGAAATGTTATAGTCGGAGTAGTCTTTTCATTAAATACCCTACCTATCGGTGTGCCTAAAATAATACTTCGCCGGAAAATATCAATAATTGTACCTTGTTGCTATGTGAAGCATTGCTTGCAATCAAAATTCTTAGTATTAAACTTTATATATACATACACATTAGTTTGGGGAAAAAGAAATCCATTATTTTTTCGGTAGATGGCTGCACTGAGAGATTTCTCGTAAAGTATCGATCAAACAATTTCCGATACTGTACATCTACATACTGTACATTTCGCAGTAAAAAAAATTCTTTTGGTGTTTTTTGTTTGGTGCATTCAGTTGTGAGTTACAGCGTGTTAAAAATGGAAGTGAACAAAGAGAAAATTCGGTACATTTTACAGTTTTTCTTTGACAAAGGCGAAAATGCAAGCCAGGCGGCTAAAATTGTGAATGGTGTTTATGGTTCCGATATTGTAACAGCCAATTATGTGCAATTTTGGTTTCGTAGATTCCGTTCAGGAATTTTTGATGTTAAAGATGCACCTCGCACAGGTAGGCCGGTCGTCGAAAATGTCGATAAAATCGGAGAAATGATCGAAGTTGACCGGCATGTTAGCAGTCGTAACATCGCCCAGGAGCTAAAAATCGACCATAAAACAGTTTTAAACCATTTACACAAAGCTGGATTCAAAAAGACGCTCGGTGTTTGGGTGCCACACCAATTAACAGAAAAAAACATGATGGATCGAATTTCCATCTGCGAAGCCTTGGCCAAACAGAATGAGATAGACCCATTTCTTAAACGGATGGTGACTGGAGATGAGAAATGGATCACATACGATAACCCTGTGCGAAAGCGATCGTGGTCAAAGAGCGATGAAGCAGCTCAAACGGCCAGGAAGGTTTTGCTATGCATTTGGTGGGACTGGAAGGGGATTATTTATTACGAGTTGATTCCATATGGCCAAACGCTAAATTGTGATCTCTACTGTCAACAACTGGACCGTTTGAAGATAGCGATTGACCAGAAACGGCTAGAATTGGGCAACAGGAGAGGTGTCGTGTTCCACCAGGATAACGTTAGGCTACACACATCTACAGTGACTCGCCAGAAACTTCGGGAGCTTGGTTGGGTAGTTTTAATGCATCCGCCATACAGTCCGGACTTGGCACCAAGCGATTATCATCTTTTTCTTGCATTGCAAAATTTCTTTAATGATAAAAAATACGGAATGTAGGGAGGATAGTGAAAATCGACTACTAGAGTTTTTTGCAAATAGAGACCAGGACTTCTATGAGAGAGGCATTTTGAAGTTACCTTTAAAATGGCAACAAATCGTACAACAAAACGGTGCATATTTGACCCAAATCGGACAATCCGCAAGCAAGTTAAATAAAGTCCTGAAGTTCATATAAAAATAATGGATTTCTTTTTCCCCAAACTAATATATATATATATATATATTTTTATTTTTTTCCATTTTTTTATATGTACATACAAAGAGAGAGTTGTCAGATAAGTGCGTTATCTCATTCAAATTTTTCCACATCTATTTAGTGTATGAAGAGTTTTTCTCATGTGATCGCTTCTTTCGAACGGATCATTATACGATTATTAAAGATATGAGGATCAAATTCGGTTTTTGCAAACTGTCCTTCAAAGAATTTATAAGTGTATTAATGGTAAAGTTTTGAACTTCTTCTTAAATGAAGTCATAACCAAACTTATCACGTTTATTTCGCAGGTGAAAATACTATCTTGCAATGATTTTTATCAAGAAATGTTAAAAAATTTTTTCATTCATACTTTTTTTCAAAGTACGAAGGATGGTCATAAGAACGGTCAAATCGAATTCATTTTCAACAGCGCTTTCCTTTGACCAACAATATGCCAGAATATCGAATTTCATCGAAATATCTGAATGCGAATTGTAATCTGGAGATAAAAAATAATATAGAGAATAATATATAGATGAATAGGCAGCACACCGGTAGATGGATAGGTAAGCTCAAATCGATTCAGATAATGATTCTAGAATCAGTTTTGGATTATTGATAGAGATAGAGATGTTTCTCAAAAACTATTTATTAGCGAAACGTTGGTTATTATAAATCCACATTGTCGCGAGTTTTGTTTAATAGGGGGAAAAGCGCTACATATTTCAAGGGAAACGCTAAATCGTCTTAGATGTTCTCTTCTTTTGCAGTGTAAATGAATGTGTGTGTGTGTGTGTGTGTGTTTGTGTGTGATTCGGGATATTCAGCGCAATCGAATACCGAATCTGTGAGAAGCAATCCAAAGTGAGCCAAATGTGAAATTCCATAAACTCAATTGCAAAGAGCAGAGCAGAGCAGAGCAGAGCAGAGCAGAGCAGAGCAAACTGGACAGATGGGTTCAAATGAAATTTTGTTTTATCTATGATATCAAAGACAATTTAGATAATAATTTTTAAGCGATCGGAGGCATTATTTTAATAAGTTTATATTTAAAAAAAAAAGAAGAAAATTCGCCATAAGGTCTGTCCTCTTTTGATGCTTACCATTTCAAATCAGTGCAATGAATGCATTACGAATGCACACTTCTATCAAGTGTGAGCGCGCTAATCGGTTAATCTGTCGACTTAAACTATTTTCACACTTAATATCTCAATTGCTGTGACTGCGATCATTCCAACAACTGACGGACACATCAAACAAACAAATTGACGAAACA